GAATTTTGCAATTTTCAAAAAAATAAAATCCGTTAGAAATTCTGCTAAAATTTTAAAAATACCGAATGTAGCCGTTATATTAGGGTCTATATGAATACGTGGACCTACATAGGCAACTTTTGTCATAAGCCATTACAATATTGAAATGCGAACCTGGAAAAAAATCTATGAATAATGTAAATTAAATCATCAAAATACCGAATATAGGGAGGTACCGGTATATGGGGGCTATACGAAGACATGGACCTGCAGGGACAATTTTCTGTAATAGGCTGTAGCATTCATTACGAACTTCAAATATCAAATTTAAAATATTTCCGATGAATAATGACACTGTATTCATTATCTTTCCTTTTTGAGCACACGTCCAAAATGGCCATAACTGTATCGTCCGTTATCGACATTGTCTTCATGCACACGTACACGACTTTGATGCCATGCATTTTGACAGGGTACGGTGCACTTAATAGTAACAGTATTCCGTCAAAATGTACTTCCAGACCTTGTTCAACCCACACCCACATAAGTCCGTTTCGACAAGTGATCATCAGTCCCCTTCTCAGAGCCGCACTTAAATTCTGTATTACGATTCCATAAAAAATGTTTTGACATTTTCGAATAGTTTGTGACCAAAATAAGGTATTCTCTAAGTTCTACCAAAAGCAACAGTGGTGAAACTATAAATTGAACTTTTCATTCATAATTTTGCCTTTTAATTTTACCGATATTTGCCGGTAACATCAAAAATCAGTTAGAAAATCCAACTACAGATCTGACAATTTTTGGCAAGGAAGTTTATTACCCCACAAACTAATAAATCAATGGGAACACGAAACTTAAAATCTGTAAAATATTTTCAATAGCGAAGGGGTTTTATTAGGTACCTGTATGACTTCAAACTGGCCACGTACGATTCAATACACAGCATATATTACTAATTTACTTATTGGGTAGCATAAATTTGGTGGATCACAACACCAAACTAATTGGTGTAGGTCATGCACCGAACTTATTATGTATGCCAATCACAATAGCTTCATTTATGTTGTCTGTGGATAGCAACAACTTCAACGAACATAAAAGTAAATCGCAATTTGATTGTATTGAAATTAAATATTGACCATTAACATTTTTCAAGAACATTTGTGTACCCTTCGGGAAAAAATTGTACTGACTTTAAAAAATTGTACTATAAATAAGAAACCTACAGCCCATTGTATCATCAGTTGTCAACGTCTTGAGGACTTAAATAAATCAAAACCAAAAATTAACAAAATGTTCAAATTCGTAAGTTTTAAATTGATTAATTTTGAAAGGGAAAATATATTAATTATTTTGTCCCTTCCATAGGCTGTTGTCATTTTCGCCGTCATTGCCTGCGCCGCTGCCAAACCTGGTTTGGTTGCTCCTTTGGCTTACACCGCTCCTGCCGCCGTTGTTGCCGCTGCCCCAGCTCCATTTGTCACTGCCACCAGCAGCCAATATGTTGCCCGTAACTACAATGGCATTGCCACCGCTCCAGTTGTTGCTCCCGTTGCTGCCCCTGTTGTGGCCAAGACTTTCGCCGCTCCAGTAGCCGCCGCTTACACCGCCCCCGTTGCTGCTGCCTACTCTGCCCCTGTTGTTGCCAAATACGCTGCCACCTATGCTGCTCCTTTCGCCTACTCTGCTCACTTGACTTATGCCGCTGCTCCAGCTCCAGTTTTGTTGTAAAGATGTTGACTGAAACATGCTGATCTGATTCGAAATAAACTATTAATTTATGAAACCTAGAATTTGTTGTTTAAATGTTGGCATATTTATACCCTACACCACATAGTGATAAGTGTATTATGTCTTTGTGCATTTGTTTGTAACAGACAAAAGGAAACGAGATAGACCCATAGTTACTTTTGGGGATCTTCATAGAATCACATTTTGAATCGATCTACGCATGTCAGTTCGTCTGACTGTCCATGTATTTTTGTGAACAAAATTCAAGTCGCATTTATTATCCGATCGAGATAAAATTTTCCAAACAATATTTGTTTGGCCCAAGGACGATTCCTATTGAAATTTGTGATAATCGGATCAGATTTAGATATATATTCAACCGATTTCGGGTAAATTGTGCAGCAAATGGCCAATATAAGTCCTAATGCCCTGAATTTTTGTAAATCTAAACGAATTCAGTCCAGAAGTGAATAAAATGTGGATAAAATCGTTTCAGATATAGCTATAGCTCCCATATATATGTGCGTTCGACAACGATGATATTTGTTACCAAATGTCAGATACATCCTAGAAATACCTCTGACAAATAGCTCCCATATACATCTTCAATCAATTTCGAGTTAATTGTGTACCAAATGGCCAATATCAGTCCAAATGACCTTAATTTTGGCACATCCGACCGAATTCAGTCTAGAATCAAGTGCAAAAAATTTGGTGAAAAGCGGTTCGTATATAGCTATAGCTTCCATATATATATTTCATCCGATTTAGTGTTTAAGTCCCTCACATTCGTAATATTCACTCCACAACAATTATATTGGTACCAGGAATCTTATAGAGCTCGAAAATACTTTTGCCAAATTTTATCTAGATTGGTTCAGATTAGGATATAGCTCCTATATATATATCTTCAATCGATTACGGGTTAATTGTGCACCAAATTGCCAATATCAGTCCAAATGACCTGAATTTTAACATATCCGTCCGAATTCAGTCTAAAATCAAGTACATCAAATTTGGTGAAAAGCGGTTCAGATATAGCTATAGCTCCATACACATGTTTCATCCGATTTGGTCTTTAAGTCCCTCACATTCGCAATATGCATTCGACAACAATGATGTTTCGTATCAGATATCTTATGGAGCTCGGAAATACCAAATTTTATTGAGATCTGCTCAGATTTGGATATAGTTCTAATCCAATTTCAAGTTTATTGTGCAAATTAGGGCTAATATCAACCCAAATGGAGTAAATTTCGGGACGTACGTTTCCATTTGGTGGAACTCAGCTCCGATATAAATCCTTTTAATATAATCTTTCTCGAAGTGATATCAAGCACCCTATGGCAATGCTATTTGGTACAAATGATAAGTTATGTCTCCGTCAAATTTAGTGAATATCGATTCAGAATTGGACACGCCTCCCATATATATGTTCACCAAATTAAATGCTCTAAAGCCAAATGTTGATAGGTGATATGATCTACTTTAAATAAATTTTTTTGTTACGGAACTCTACTAAATATGCATCGTGGTGTAGGGTATAATATAGTCGGCTCAGCCCGATTTTTGACATCTCTACTTCGATAAGGAATATAAAAATGGTAAAATTCGGTTGAATGTGAAAAAATCTATTCAATAACCGTAAAATCGGATTAAGATGTATATCGAAGCTATATAAAAATCTGAACCGATCTCGACAAACTTTGACAAAGTATTTTCGAGCAGTATCTGATGCCCGGTATCAAATATCATTGTTGTAGGGTGCATATTACGCATGTGAGGGACTTTAACTTCAAATCGGATGAAATATGTATATGGGAGCTATAGCTATATTTTAACAGATTTTCACCAAAATTTAAAGCACTTACTTCTAGACTGATTTCGGTCGGATGTGCCAAAATTTAGGTCATTTGAACTGATATTGGACATTTGGTGCACAATAAACCTGTTATCGGATAATGATATGTGGGAGCTATATCCAAATCTGAACTGATTTTTACCAAATTTTGGGCACTTATATCTGAACTGCATCTGATATCTGGTACCAAAGACTATTGTTGCGGAGTCCATATTGCGCATATGAGGCACTTTAAAATTAAAGCTATATCTAAAGCAATTTTCACCAAATTTGAAGTACTTATTGTACCCTACACCACAAGGTGGTGAGGATATTATGCCTTTGTGCATTTGTTTCCTTTCCTTTTGATGAGACGATTTATATACATACAACCTGAAATAAGTATGCCAAATTTGATCGGTACAGATATAGCTATAGCTCCCATATATATTGTTCATCCGATTTGCTATTTTTGTCCTCCGCAGCCGTAATATGCACTCTGTAACTACTATATTTGGGGAAATGTATCAAATACAGCTCAGCAATACCTTTCCAGAATTTTATGGAAATCGGTTCAGATTTGGATATATCTCCAATCTATATCTTCGTCCGAATTGCGCTTTTTGTGCCCGAAACGTGTAATATTAGCCCAAATAAAATGGAATTTGGGACTTACGACCGAATTGAGTTAAGAAACAAGTATGTTAAAATTGGAGAAAATCGGTTCAGATATAGCCACAGCTCCCATATATATTGTTATATTGTTCATCCGATTCGTTGAATTGAATGCAATAATATGCACTCCGTATTAACGTTATTCGTGGAAATATATCAAATACAGCTCAAAAATACCTTTGCCAAATTTTATTGAGATCGTTTCAGATTTATATATGTCTCCCACATATATATGTATTCAATTTCAAGTTAATTGTGCACCGCATGGGTAATATAAACCCTAATTAAGAAGGCAAAAATGTCTCGGCAAATTTAGTGAAAATTTATTCAGAGGAAGATATTCCTCTCATATATTAGCTTCTTTGGACTATAAATTATTACTATAATCATAGTTGGTATGATTTAATTCTTACAAATTCCCCATAAAGACTGTTATTTGTTATGTGAAGCTCTACTATATTTGTAAAGCGGTGTAGGGTATCAGGCCCGAAATTTGAACCTATTCTCAAAATCTTTGGAAAATTTCATCTCATTTGGATAATAAATGTTATCTTCATTTTGTTCACAAAAATACATGGACAGACGGACGGACATGCGTAGATCGATGCAGAATATGATTCTATGAAGATCCTCAAAAGTAACTATGGGTCTATCTCGCTTCCTTCTCCATGTTACAAACGAATGTATAATTTCATTATACCCTTACCAATATGTGGTGTAGGGTATAAATATGCCAACATTTAAACAACAAATTCTAGGTTTCATAATTTAATAGTTTATTTCGGATTAGATCAGCATGTTTCAGTCAACATCTTTACAACAAAACTGGAGCTGGAGCAGCGGCATATGTCAAAGGAGCAGAGTAGGCGAAAGGAGCAGCATAGGTGGCGGCATATTTGGCAACTACAGGGGCGGAGTAGGCAGCAGCAACGGGAGCGGTATAAGCGGCGGCTACTGGAGCGGCGAAAGTCTTGGCCACAACAGGGGCAGCAACGGGAGCAACCACTGGAGCGGTGGCAATGCCATTGTAGTTACGGGCAACATATTGACTGCTGGTGGCAGTGACAAATGGAGCTGGGGCAGCGGCAACAACGGCGGCAGGAGCGGTGTAAGCCAAAGGAGCAACCAAACCAGGCTTGGCAGCAACGCAGGCAATGATGGCGAAAATGACAACAGCCTATGGGAAGGAAGAAATAATTAATATATTTTCCCTTTCAAAATTAATCAATTTAAAACTTACAAATTTGAACATTTTGTTAATTTTTGGTTTTGATTTGTTTAAGTCCTCAAGACGTTGACAACTGATGATACAATCGACTGTAGGTTTCTTATTTATAGTACAATTTTTTAAAGTCAGTACAATTTTTTCCCGAAGGGTACACAAATGTTCTTGAGAAATGTTAATGGTCAATATTTAATTTCAGTACAATCCAATTCCAATTTACTTTTATGAGTTTGTCGTTGAAGTTGTTGCTATCCACAGTCCACGTAAATGAAGCTTTTGTGATCGGCATATATAATAAGTTCGATGCACGACCTACACCAATATGTTGGGTGTTGTGATTCACCAAATATATGCTAACCAACAAATGAATTAGTAATCTTGTTTGTATGTTGAAGAGTTCGAAATGTGAAGCCACTGATACCTAGTAATTCTTCCCTATTGAAAATATTTTCCGTTTTGTTCGATTTGATAGTTTGATGGTTAGGAAACTTCCTTAGCAAAAATTATCAGATCATGCATTGGCCATAGAAGCTCTGTTGAATAGTCTCAAGAAATCCTCCAGTAATCATAGGGGAGAATAGTTTCAAAGTAGAGATTTAATGTGATGATATAAATGTAGCTTAGCATCATGGCATGGCGTATTATTGTCAAATTATAAGGGAAACGACCGCAGGATTTAAGTGCGGCTCTGAGATCCAAATTTGCCATGACAGGGTGCCAAGCTGCTTAGCCTTTATTGCACAATCGTGAAGTGTCCTTGTGGTTGTTGAAGTGGGACACAATAAAACAGTGTTGGTGATGATGGGGGGCAGCCGACCGTACACTGCGTTGTTACCGCCAGATTCATCGCCTTAACCAATGTTCGATTATTTAAATATATTTTTGCTTCTGTTATGATTATTCCAATTGTTGACCCTCTATGGTGTAGGTTCCGAATGAATGGGTCAATATTGTCCATTTCGTATCGGACCTAAGTAAATATGATGTAAATATTGAGACGTGTCAGGATTGGACTATGTAGGTTACATCCTTCACTTGAGAGTGATACTTGATAATTTTTAGAAAATATTAAAATGTGCGTGACCGAAGTATTCCATTTTCACACTCCATCTGATACAGTTAAAAGTTTTCGTATGGGCAAAATTAAAGAAAATCGAACATATCGCTGACATGTTTCCATGTTATGACAGATAAAAGTATTAACAAGTAAAAAACCCTGTAAAGAAAGTCCTGAAGTCGGGCGGGGCCGATTTTATGATACCCTACACCACTTTGCTAATTTAGTTGAGGTACACATAACAATTAAAAGTTTTTATCGGAGAATTCAATCATACACCCTATGATTATAATTATAATTTAAAATTCAAAGGACTAAATATGCCGAAGCATTTGTATCTTTTAAATTCGGAATTGGTGCAAAATTAATTTAAAATCAGATAAAGATATATATGGGAGCTATATCCAAATCTGAACCGGTCTCGATAAAATTTAGCAAAGGTATTTCCGAGCTGTATTTGATATATTTCCCTGAATATCGTTGTTACCGAGTGCATATTACGGCTGTGGGTTATAAAACCAACAAATAGGATGAACAATATATATGGCAGCTATAGCTATATCTGAACCAAATTTGGCATACTACCTTCTAGACTCAATTGGGCCATATGTACCAAATTCCATCCCATTTGGGGAAATGTTAGACGTTTGGTGCACAATAAAAATAAATCGAACGAAGTTATATATGGGAGCTATATCCAACTCTGAACCGATTTCGATAAAATTTAGCAAAGGTATTTCTGAGCTGTATTTGATATACTTCCACAAATATTGTTGTTACAGAGTGCATATTACGGCTGCGGAGACAAAAAATAACAAATAGGATGAACAATATATATGGGAGCTATAGCTATATCTGAACCGATTTCGATCAAATTTGGCATACTTATTTTCAGGCCTAATTTAGTTGTATGTGCGAAATCCCATACTATTCGGGCTTATATTACACGTTTGGTGTACAATAAAAGGCAAATCGGACGGAAATATATATGTGAGCTATATCTAAATTTTTACGGATTATCTCCAATTTCAATAGGGTTCATCCTTGAGCCAGACAAATGTTGTTTGGAAAATTTCATCTCAATCGGATAATAAATGCGACCTGCATTTTGTTCACAAGAATACATGGACAGACGGACGGACTGACATGCTTAAATCAACTCAGAAAGTGATTCTATGGAGATCCTCAAAAGTAACTATGGGTCTATCTCGCTTCCTTCTCCATGTTACAAACAAATGCATAAAGACATAATACCCTTACCACTAAGTGGTGTAGGGCATAAAAAGACATAATACCCTTACCACTAAGTGGTGTAGGGTATAAAAATCCAATATGTAAAATATAAAAACATGTCACAAAATACTACAAAATCTATCTATTTTTTTAGTTCTTATTCTTTTATGCCAAGAGGGCATTCTGAATTGACAAAATTTGTCATATCCAGCCATTGTTGAGATATGAACATTATACCTAACGTCCCTTTCCCTCATATATATATACAGTTTAATTGACCTGATCGTCTATTTGTGATTTCGCCGGGATTAAAAATATTCGCGGTTTAATGTAAAATTCGACTTTTATTTTACACAAATGTTATGGTCTTTTTCACCCACTAAATATTACCCGATGACCATCAAAATTGGAAGGCTTCTGCCCAGCCCTAAGCTCTAGCCACATACTAACTGCCTCTTCGATCGGGTTATAATTGCAACCTGTAGAGCAACTAAAAATTCAGGAAATTTTAAATTTTTGGTCCATTTCAACCCCTAAATATTATGCGATCCAAAAGCAATTTTGTGAAGATTGGGCCATAATTGCGACCTGTAGAGTGATTACAAACTAACATGGGCATGATTACAAACTAACATGGGCATAGGATATACATAGCTAGATCGACTCAGCTCGGCGAGATAGGATGATCCATACATACTTTCCTATGTGGGAAACCAATATTTCGAGGTGTTACATAATTTTTGGCCCAACCAAACTTATAATACCCCCAACACATAGTCTTGTAGGGCATAAAAAAAGACATCTTTAACTTATCCGTTTAAATCTCGTAGTAACAATATAGCTTCTGAATTTATATGACATGCCCTGGTAAAATTAATAGGTTAGTAGGAATACCGGCGATGAAATGGCGGAACTATTATCTAAGAACTGTATGTTGCCTAAGCAAAATTCAAATAAAACAATAATGTTTTAAATTATATTATGAGAAGTTTATTTTTTTATCGTTACTAGGTCAGACTCGAAAGTTTTTACAACAAAACTGGAGCTGGGGCAGCAGCATAGGTCAAGGGAGCAGAGTAGGCGAAAGGTGCAGCATAGGTGGCGGCGTATTTGGCAACAACAGGGGCGGTGTAGGCAGCAGCAACGGGGGCAGTGTAAGCGGCGGCTACTGGAGCAGCGAAAGTCTTAGCAACAAGGGGAGCAGCGAAAGTCTTGGCTACAACAGGGGCGGCAACGGGAGCAACAACTGGAGCGGTGGCAATGCCATTGTAGTTACGGGCAACATATTGGCTGCTGGTGGCAGTGACAAATGGTGCAGGGGCAGCAGCAACAACAGCAGCTGGAGCGGTATAAGCCAAAGGAGCACCAATCAAGCCAGGCTTGGCGGCGGCGCAGGCAATGATGGCGAAAATAACAACGACCTACAAAGTTTGGAGGAAATATTTTAGTAATTTGAACAATACGCTATGCAAAATCTTAAAACTTACAAATTTGAACATGTTGATGGGTTTGGATTGTTGTCAATACTTTGAGAACTTTAGAATATCTGATGCTATATTTGGAAATCAGCTAAGCTTTTATACTAAAGAAGTGTGGACGGAATGAATACCGTTATGTGTAAATTGATTTAATTTTATCAAGCATTGTGTGTGCATTGACGATTCTTGGCGTTCATATAAAATACATTTAATACAGTGTGATTATTTCGTATGTTTGCTGGAATATTAAAATTCATAGCACATAGTTTGTGGTAAAGAGTATCGAAACGTGTAGGTGTTCGAAGTTTGAAGATGATGCATAGTCGCTAATGTAAAACTTTAAACTGGAATATGGTTTAAAAAATCTGCAAAAGACAATTATCGAGATAATACATCGAGATTAATACATTATTTTTTCCAGCTACGTAGCTAATTAATTTTTGGTGGAAATCATAGGGGAAATTAATATATAGCTACCACATGTAATTCCCCCCCGTTTTAATGTAAGTAATGCGTAATCTATGTCACTTGGAACAATTGAAAAGAACATATTGGCTTCGAAAAACTCTGTCCATACTGGTTCAAATCGGTCGTAATAGTTACAGCTCTTTTATCGATTTTATATCAAAACAAGTAAGTAAAGGCTACAGTCGAGCGGGGCCGACCGTTGAATACCCTACAACACTATAATAAACCATACAGTTTATATAGGCGAAATACTCAACAGAATTCAACAAGATATTGTGACAAATAATAAAAGAAAACCATCAGGTTTCGTTCTCTAATTTTCGAATAATAGCAACTTAAACTAATTTGCTCATTTCCAATTTATTGGTAGATGTTGCACGTAAATGGTCTTCCTAGATCTGGAACCAATATTTCCCAGAGACCCATAATCTCTCAGAAGTGGCAAAAGATTAACATTTATTATTGGTTTTTGACTGAAACGCATCTATGTGAGATACAGACATTTGACTATATCCTTCAACGAAATCAGCCTTAACGAAATAGTCAGAAGTGCGTCTTTCCTGTATTTTGTGAATTCTCCAAAGAGTCACAGGAATGGACATTTTCGTATTTTGTCTACAAAAGTTGGCAAACTCCTTCACACATTGAATATTTTTGGATGGCCATCCAAAACTATTTGGCTTTTGCAATGTCCGTTAACCTCCATTCAAATGCGCGTGTGGATCGGGCGATAATTACGACTTGCAATTTTTCAGTTTTTTTGTTCATTTCAACCCCTAAATATATGGCGATTATCTTCAAAAAGAGTAGGCTTCTATTCTGACCCTCATCTTATGCCCATGCAAAATTTCGTAAGGATCGGGCCATAAATGCGATCTGTATATGATATCCTGATATCCTAACTACTTAGTTTTGTTAGCTGTAGAAATATTACCAAATGTTTAATTCAAAATGAAAATATGCCAAAAATATGACAAAATTGAAAAAATATGAGAAAATATTACAAAATCAATATTTTCATCTTTAGAGAGATATTTTTATGCGATTTTTTTAGACGTTTTTTCTTTCCTGCCGAGAGGCCATTCTGAATTAATGAGAACTGTCGAAATAAGTTCAGTCGTTCTCGACATATAAGAGATCTTTCAAGCATATCTTCTTTGATAGACATATATATCGCACATATTTTGCTATATATCCGATTTAAAGGATGTTAACATCAATGTAAAGATCAGAAGTAACCTTGTCATGGCTTTGTGATTTCGCCGGGATTTAAAGTATTCGCGGTTTAATGAAAAATGTTGAATTTTTTCAACACAAAAGATATGGTCTATTTTACCCGCTAAATATTATCCGATGACCACCCAAATTGGTAGGCTTCTTCCCCTAAACTCTAGGTACATGCGAAATTCCGCGTCGATTGGTCTATAATTGCGACCTATATAGCTACTGCAAAATCCGACATTTTTTCAGTATTTGGTCCATTTCAACCCCTAAACATTTGGGGATCATCTCCAAAAGAAATAGGCTTCTATTCTGACCCTAACTCCACCTTCGTGCAAAATTTCGTAAGGATCGGGCCATAATTGCGACCTGTAGCGTGATTACAAATTAACATGGACAGACGGACAGACGGACGGCCGGACATACATAGCTAGATCGACTCAGCTCGGCGAGCTAGGAAGATCCATATATACTTTCCTATATGGGAAACCAATATTTCGAGGTGTTACATAATTTCTGGCCCAATCAAACTTATAATACCCCCAACACAGAGTGTTGTAGGGTATAAATAGAAGCTATATCATCCAAAACAGTAAAATCAGAAACTGAATTGGAATGTATGAATTCAATCAACAACTAGTCCCTACACGGTTCATTACACATTATATTTGTACCAGGTCATGCAGAGTAACTTGCAAAAGAGGCAGGAAATTAGCAACAGTAGACTTAAAAAATCCAAATCCCCAAATGCGCCACATCTATAGTTAACAAAATAAGAGTAAAAAAGAAATACTAAGTTCTGCCGAGCTAAACTTTTAATACATTCCACCTTTGGGTAAAGAAACAAATTTTAAACAAAAATGTATCATATACAAATACCAGTAAGACCGTTTGGATAAATCTGTAAAACTATTCAAAAAACCATAAAGTGGGTGAGGTCGTTATATGGGGGTAATACCAAAACGGGAACCGCCATAGACAATTATATATCTCTAGGATTGTGACTTACCAAATCTTCTTTAATACCAAATTTGAAAAATTTTCGTGGGTAAATGTGACTAGGATTATCAGAATTCTGAATTTCGGTGGGTATCTTTTTATGTGCGCTATCGAAAAACGTGGAACTAAATGTTCAATGTTTTACCGCCGGAGCTAGAACCCATAATGACTTTTAATTACCAAATTTTTAGAAAAATCCATGGAAACAAGTGGCAAAAATCGTCAAAATACCGAATATCGGGAGGTACCGTTGTATGAGGACTATACAAAAACGTGGACCTATACATACAATGTTGAGAAACAGGAACTACAGCCCATTATGACCTACAAAAACAAATTTTAGGCAAATCCGTTATAAAAATGTAGCGAAAATCATCAAAATATCGAATATCGGGAGGTACAGTTATATGACGGCTATACCAAAACGTGGACCGATGTATCTCATTTGCAATACCATCCCTTCTAGATACAATTCAAATTGTTCTGCAAAAATTGTTAAGCTCTACGTCAAATAATGTGAGCTGTATCGTGATTTAAGCAGACAGACGAACAGGCAGGCGGACAACGTTAAGTCGACTTAAAATTTTATGCTGATTATGAATATATATACTTTATGGGGTCTTAGACGAATATTTACTACCTTTTCAAGGTGTAGAACAATGAAGACGTAGGGAAAACCACAAAAATCGTGTGAAGAGACCCCAATAAGGTGAAAGTGAAGAAGCTTTTATTATTAGGTAAGAAAGGAACGACTCCATACCAGACTTTAATCCGATCATGGTAAAGGAAATAAAACAGTTAAGGAATTTTGTTAAGGAAACTGAATTGCTGATATAATAAACTGTAAACTGCCTGTCTTCATTCAATAACTTTAGTCTAGAGAGCACTTCAGGCCTATACTGGCTTAGGTGTATGTCCACCGGGAAATGTGGCGTTTTCCTCTTTTCAACCTAATCTAACCTACATTAAAGATATAACACTCAACCGATAACAATGATATTATTGACACCATTTAGTATGCCAAATATGCATAAAGTTAGGAGATAGCTATAATACCCCTAAATAGTTCTGCCTACTTAATATTACAAATATAAGTACCTCTCCTTTTATACATTCTAGAAACAAATCTGTAAACTTAATTTAAATCTTTTCAAATTGATACATAGATCCTTTATTTAATGTTAGTGTTACGCCACAGCCGTTCTCCAAATCTACCAATATTTAGTAAGAGATGGCACATGTAACTACACATGCACACATTCCGAATGACTTCTACATGAGAGAATTCATAAATTGGGGGCTTGTAAAATAATTATAAAATCTCAAAATACCGTTTCGTTATTCGTTACCGACCGAAATGAATTTTATTGCAGATACTAAACAACTCATTTGACAATGCGATTCCTAACAACTTTTTGCCGGAGTTTCGAACTTATACTTTTTCAACACATACCTTAAATAATTAAGTTTTGCATTCTCCCTTTTAATGTTCACAATATCGAATATATCATTTAACCTTTGTATAGGGGCTTTACATAACGTGGACCTATACAGACAATGCTCTGATAAAGGGTTTGGTATGGCATAGGTTATACTACTAGGTATTACATAGGGTATATGTAATTATAAAAAATACAATTTAAAATTTTAAATATTGCTCCGAGTTTTTCTCGACATAACGCCTATTCGAATGCAACATTTAAATCCGAATTACAGTCTACCAACTAAGAAGACATATACGTTTTCAATAGCGTATATACTGTATACCACAAATTGTGTGATATGAATTTAAAGCTTCAAGTACGAAAATATCAAACTGTATTAAACGTATTTTATATGAACGTCATGATTGGTCAATGCACACACAGCAGAATAAAAAGTAAAACAATTTGCTAATAACGGCATTCATGCCGCCAACATTTCTTCAGTATAAAAGCTTAGCTAATTTCCAAATATGGCATCAGATATTCTTGTGTTCTCACAGCATTGACAACAATCCAAAATCTAGCAACATGTTCAAATTTGTAAGTTTTAAGATTTGCTAAATAGTCCTTGTTAAAATTTCTAACATATCTCCTTGAATTTTGTAGGTCGTTGTAATTTTCGCCATCATTGCTTGCGCCGCTGCCAAGCCCGGTTTAATTGGTGCTCCTTTGGCTTACACCGCCCCCGCTGCTGTTGTTGCTGCCGCCCCAGCTCCATTTGTCACTGCCACCAGCAGCCAATATGTTGCCCGTAACTACAATGGGATTGCCACCGCTCCAGTTGTTGCTCCCGTTGCCGCTCCTGTAGTAGCCAAGACTTTCGCCGCTCCAGTAGCCGCCGCTTATACTGCTCCCGTTGCTGCTGCCTACTCCGCCCCTGTTGTTGCCAAATACGCTGCCACCTATGCTGCTCCTTTCGCCTACTCTGCTTCTTTGACCTATGCTGCTGCTCCAGCTCCAGTTTTGTTGTAAAAACTTTCGAGTCTGCCTTAGTAACGATTAAGGAAATAAATCACTTATAACACCATTTAAATCATGATTGTTTAATTTTATTTACCCGCTTTGTTCTTACACCGACTTAACCGTTTGACTGTACATAGCACAAAAAAAAATCATCAGTCAATGAGATTCCTAACAAATTTTGGCCAGTCACAACTGCTTAGAAATCTACCCATTAAAACATTATTTTTACCAGGATATGTCACACGAATTGGAAAGCGAGACTTTTTCTAATAGAATTCAACATATAAGTTAGAAAAGAGTTTGTTCTACTTAAAATCCTATGACTTGATTTGAAACTAAGCAGTAGACCCTGGTTACGAACATTAAGGGTTGTTCAAAATTTCGAACCTACATCAAGAGCTCTTCTTAATTGGCTTAATTTACTGTTTTCTTGTCGATTCCAATTATATGGCCGGACACACATGCTCTATGCCAGGGCTATTCAGTTTTTAGTAATTATAAAAAAGGTTAATTTTAAAACTACGAACATTTGGTTTTGAATCTATTAGTAATGTAGAGGTGGTGGGTTTGGTGCCTGGACATAGTTCCCATTGCAATTATGGGGATTATGTCCGGGTATTTAAAAAAATAAAAACTGTACATATCCCCATGAGGAGTATGGTCGCTTACTGTGGCGATTATGCCAGAAAAAATTTCGACGATATTCCCCAGTAAGAAAACAAGGCTTAAGTTCAGTTTAGAGGTTATGCTCGGATTGGCCCGAAATGTTTATCATAGGTAGGTATTTTTTACCTGATTACGGTAAATCAATTTTTTCGTGGGGGAAATACCCGGGCACCTGGTTATTCGCCTCGAAAGTTCGGGTACAAAATCCGGTTTTTATCTGGTCTTACAAAACTTTATGTGTTGATATATCTTGTAGAAAAACGATGGATAGCGTAGCCGATGTTGGACTTACCCCAGAGGAGAAAATCTCAAGTCCCGGCCGAATTGCGGCTGCATAAAAAAAGCTATAAAGGTTAGATACAAATAAGTGAAACAAATCTCAATGTCATGATTTTTATCACTAATATCTTTGAAACCACAAGAGATATCAGTACAGCATTCAACACCATTTTAATAACCCATAATGGGGTCAATTTTTTGGGATTTTTTAAAAGACGTTCTGGTTCAAAGTTACTAATTATGCTGTAAATTGATCTGGAACCGGTTCAAACAACTCACTTGTTTGATAGGTATTTACATACGCTTTCAAATGATATATGTACAAATGGTTTTGTACATATCAATTTTTTAGAACCGAATAAAACCAGGATTAGTCTACCGGGTCGAATAACCGTGAAAATACTTGCCATAATCAGGTTAAAAATACCTAATTGGTATTTTTGTGTCCGCAATCGTTTTGCATGTCCTCTAATTTCTGGAAATTATAACCAATTTTTCATTATGGGAGTTATGACCAAAAAACCGCCATGGCCTACAGGAAGTTGGAGAATAGTAGTATATTTTCATACATTTGTTGGTAACAATCAAAAAGGAATCATATAGCTCGTTTTGAATGTCTTCTGAGTCCATCCGTTTATTCCTGTATTTGTGCAGGCAAAAGACATGTTACATTTAGACGAGCCATATGAACATTTTTGAAATGATCTATCCTCCAACTTAACAGGGCCACGTTGTGGGATATCTTTATTTGGTATTCTGATGGCTTCCCCCAAGAAAGTTTTGTATTTGAAATTTCTGATTAGTGACTAATTGACTTCCAAAAAATTTTTTGAGGTATGTCTTCATGTTGACTTTGTATATATCATGGTCGAACGAATCAAAAGTTCGGCCCGGCTGAACTTACTACTGTATTACTTGTCAGTACTTTAAATGAACAATTTGTTCAGTTTGACAAACATTTTTAATCAAAACTTCATTATATCTAAATCGTGCTAAATTTTCGGACTTTCAAGGTTTTTTACATTATTTGGGTTTTCCTTTTTTCGGGAAGAATAATAGGAAAATGCTTTCCTTCTAAAAGTCTTCAACTTCTTTCGTTTTATAGTTTACCGAGGAGAAAATTGGTAAACACATTGCAAAATGGACCCACATCCAATTATTATGTCCAAAACTATTTCAACGTCTCCATATGTATACTCCCAGAAACAAACAGAAAATTTCAGGATTTCAGCCCTATTATTTAAACCAATACCAAATTTAATAACATTTAGTTCGCATATCCAAAACAATCTACATCTCGCCAACAGCGATCCACAATTAGTACTTTTTGGACAATTATAGTACGTATTTCCAAAACCACCAGACCTTACCAACAAAGACCTCAACATCAAATTTGAGGATTCCAGCCATAACCCCCTACGAATACCAAATGTAGAACCATTTAGTACTTTTCATATAAATAAAGGAGGCATATCGAAACTTCAGCTAAATCTCAATCACAGATACAATTAGTAATCTAGTTTAAGGATTTCAGGAATTTAAGTTCTATTCCTTCACCCAATACCAAATATAGTACCAATTAGTACATTTCGTACAATTATTGTACACATTTCCAGAACCACCTCAATTTGTTCAGGCTACACATGAACAGCGACCCTAATACCAAATTTAAGATTTCAAGTACTATCTGTTCACCCAATATCGAATTGTTTTATATAGTACTATCTAGTACTTTTCGTGAACTTGTAGTACACATATCCAAAACCAGATCTTTATCACAAGCCTACAACCAATACAATTTCAATCAAAAATCAAAATTTCAATTTCATCCGTTTGCCAATCGTCTAAATCAAACTGTTCCAAACATAGTACGATAATATTAATTAATTATATTAATACTCAAACCTAAACCAACAACAGGGATTTCAATACCAACACTTCGAAATTCTAACCCTATCCGTTCACTCTTTAAGCCCTATCTATAATACCAAGTGGTATAATTTTAGAAGTTTAGTACCATTTTAGAACTTTTCGTAACTTTAAAGTTCGAATATATAAAAACCCTTTGGTACATCTTTCCTGTACTACATATTTCAATTCTATTTCATTCTGTTTGACCAATACAAAGTAATACATTTTCAGTTCTTCTCGTACACTTTTAGAACAAATTCCAAAGCCCAGTCTTTTCACACGCCTACGCACCAAGACCGACCCCCATACAACTTTTCTAGATTTTTGTCTTATCGTTGGGCATGTTGGTTTGCAGTACTAAAATGTTTCACAAACTCAATATACTGTTTTGTTGATGCATGTCAAACTCCAAGTAAAGAAGCTTTTGCTCCTTGAATTTTAAATTCTCTTTGAGTATATGAGAGATATGAAGAATTTAAGGTCGTAATGCTATCCGGTTATTCTGGAGGCTGAGGAGGGGATCACTCAGTTCAGGTATCACAGTTAAATACTATTCTGTTCAAAGTAGAAGTACTAAACTCTTGATGGAGGTTTATTGTTCCTCCGATGGGAACTTAAAAATGTCATTTACATTTTTCCTATTCTATCATAATAAAATATCGTTTCCTTGTTATTTATATTAATAAACTTTGTTTTTAAAAGATTTAAATAAGTCGTTTATTTCCTACGTATCTCAAATCGAAATAAGTTTCAAAGTTTTTACAACAAAACTGGAGCTGGAGCAGCAGCATAGGTCAAGGGGGCAGAGTATGCGAAAGGAGCAGCATAGGTGGCGGCGTATTTGGCAACAACAGGGGCAGAGTAGGCAGCGGCAACAGGGGCAGTGTAAGCAGCGGCAACTGGAGCAGCGAAAGTCTTGGCAACAAGGGGAGCAGCGAAAGCCTTGGCTACAACAGTGGCGGCAACGGGAGCAACAACTGGAGCGGTGGCAATGCCATTGTAGTTACGGGCAACATATTGGCTGCTGGTGGCAGTGACAAATGGGGCTGGGGCAGCAGCAACAACAGCAGCGGGAGCGGTGTAAGCTAAAGGAGCACCAACCAAACCAGGCTTGGCAGCGGCGCAGGCAATGACGGCGAAAATAACAACGGCCTGCAAAAGTACAAACTTTATATTAGTCTACTGTCTAGTTATTCGATATATCGAAACTTACAAATTTGAACATGTTGATTAGTTTTGGTTTCTTGTGTTTACTTTGGAAGTAATTGAGTGTCTGATACCAATTTTGGAATTGACCTAATCTTTTTATAGTTGAGAATTTAATATTATTTCAAACTGTTAATTTATTACTTTGTAAGCAAAAACACTCAGTATCGTACATAGAGTTAAGCATACGTTGGAATTTCGAGCAGAATTTCATTTAAATATGCATCTGCATTAAAATTCGAATCACAAACTGTGGAATTTTAAGTTTAGTTGTAGTTTAATTTACTTGTTTCACACCTAAAGCCGATTAAATATGTAATCATTTATTGACCTCTCACCCCCAAACGTATTACACGCTGGTGGAGTTTGATTTTTGAAATTCGGAATGGAGTTACAGATGGTCATACATACAGCGAATTACTTGTGAATTAATCATATGAATCATACTGTATTTCACAAACTGTGACAGGTACTATCAATAATTTACTACAACTAAATCTAAAATCCCACAGCTTGTGATTTGAATTTTAATGCAGATGCCTATTTTCGAAATTCCAATGTATGCTTAACTCTATGTACGACACTGATTGTTATTGTGTACAAACAAATAATAAACTAACAGTTTGAAACAAATATAGCAGTACTAATACAATATTAAATTCTCAACAATAAATAGATTAGGTCAATTCCGAGATTGGTATCAGACACTCATTTACTTCCAAAGTAAACACAAGCAACCAAAACTAATCAACATGTTCAAATTTGTAAGTTTCGATATAAAGAATAAATAGACAGGAGACTAATATAAATTTTGTACTTTTGCAGGCCGTTGTTATTTTCGCCATCATTGCCTGCGCTGCTGCCAAGCCTGGTTTGGTTGGTGCTCCTTTGGCCTACACCGCTCCCGCTGCTGTTGTTGCTGCTGCCCCAGCTCCATTTGTCACTGCCACCAGCAGCCAATACGTTGCCCGTAACTACAACGGCATTGCCACCGCTCCAGTTGTTGCTCCTGTTGCCGCCCCTGTTGTATCCAAGACATTCGCTGCTCCCCTTGTTGCCAAGACTTTCGCTGCTCCAGTTGCCGCTGCCTACTCTGCCCCTGTTGTTGCCAAATACGCCGCCACCTATGCTGCTCCTTTCGCATACTCTGCCCCCTTGACCTATGCTGCTGCTCCAGCTCCAGTTTTGTTGTAAAAACTTTGAGACTTCTTTCGATTTGCCATATGTAGGAAATAAACGACTTATTTAAATCTTATAAAAACAGAGTTTATTAATATAAATGACAAGGAAATAAGTTTTTATTATGATAGAACAAGGAAAATGTAGGTGACATTTTTAAGTTCTAATCGGAGGAACAAGAGTTTAATAATATACGACATAAATCCTAATTTGTACAGGGTTGCCCATATTCGACGGACCCATCTGGCAACGCCATAACTTTTGACAGAGATGTCACATCGCTTAATGACATACCGCGTTTGAAGCGTCAGTCCAAGCAGATTTTTACCATGAACCAATACACGCCACGCGAACGCTCTGAAATAGTTGAAATTTACAAGAAGTCAATTGTGAAAATTCAACGTGCTTTTAAAACATTAAAAAATGTGAGAAGTGCGCCAGCTAAGAACACCATTAAGCGTTTATACGAAAAATTTTCGACTGGTAAGGCTTATTCTAATCCGAAGGGGCCATATAAAAGTCGACCAAGGCGATCGGCAGAGAATATCGCTGCCGTACGAGCCAGAGTTGAGAGATCCCCAAGAACATCCCAAAAACGCCGTTCTCAGCAGTTGGGCATGGCTCGGTCCACTTTACAACGGATTATTCGCATTGATTTGCATTTGTTCCCGTACAAAATTCAATTGACGCAAAGAATGTTGCCTGCGGACAAGCCTCGTCGATTGGAATGGGCCCAAAGGTCCGTCGAATATGGGCAACCCTGTATAGTGTTTTTGGAAATACGTACTATAATTTTCCAAAAAGTACTAGTTGTGTTTCACTTTTGGTGAGATGGAGATTGTTTTGGATATGTGTACTAAATGTTACCAAGTTTGGTATTGGTTTAAGAGATAGGCCTGAAATCCTGACATTTTCTGTTGGTTTCCAGGGTTTACATATGGAGGCGTTGAAATAGTTTTGGACAGAATACTAGGATTAAGGTCAGTTGTGCAACGGGTTTACTAATTTTCTCCTCGGCAAACTTCAAAATGAAATATGTTGAACATTTTTTTTTGGCGAAAAGGAGAAACATTTCCCCAATATTCTTTCCAAAAAGGGAGAACTTGAAAAATATATAAAACCTTGAAATTCCGAAAATTTATTACGATTTAGATGAAGTTTTGATTACAATGTTGGTCAAACTGAACAAATTGTACATTGTACATATGTGTACTAACAAGTAAAAAAGTAGTAAGGTCAGCCGAGCCGCACTTTTGATTCGCTCTGCCATTTTATACACAAAGTAAAAATAAAGAACTAGATTAAAAAGTTTTTTGTAAGGCAATTAGTCATCCATCAGAAACTTCAAATACAAAATTTCAGACAAAATTTCGGACAATTTTGTTGTCTATACCATCAGAATACTAAATATAGGGCGATACCATTATATGGGAAATATCCCACAATGGGGACCTTTCATTAACTGTTTTGGTTAGGAACCGAATTCCAGATAATTCCCTTGAAAAATGTGGCGAAAGTAGTCGAAATGCTTTAAATAGGAGGATACCGTTATATGAGGACTCTATGAAAAAGTGGGCCGAAGGTGATCTAAGTTCAAACCCAAAACGTATATGTCAAAATTTTAGCACTCTATCTTAATTCAATCGGAAGATAGCGTGAATACAATAGGCGGACAGATATAGCTAAATCGGATTAGTTTGGTTGGTTGGTCTACTTCATCCCCTTAACATTTCACACAACAATAGGCATATATTCTGACAACAATTCAATGCAAAATTTGACTAATTGCTTACAAACAATATAAATGAATTTGCAATATCATAATATAACAATCTTTCCGTAGTAATGTATAGTTATCCACATTTATAACAAAACATTATTTTACTAGATTTAAATAAGTCGTTTATTTCCTACATATGGCAAATCGAAAGAAGTCTCAAAGTTTTTACAACAAAACTGGAGCTGGAGCAGCAGCATAGGTCAAGGGGGCAGAGTATGCGAAAGGAGCAGCATAGGTAGCGGCGTATTTGGCAACAACTGGGGCAGAGTAGGCAGCGGCAACTGGGGCAGCGTAAGCGGCGGCAACTGGGGCAGCGAAAGTCTTAGCAACAAGGGGAGCAGCAAAAGTTTGGGCTACAACAGGGGCGGCAACAGGAGCAACAACTGGAGCGGTGGCAATGCCATTGTAGTTACGGGCAACATATTGGCTGCTGGTAGCAGTGACAAATGGAGCTGGGGCAGCAGCTACAACAGCAGCGGGAGCGGTGTAGGCCAAAGGAGCACCAACCAAACCTGGCTTGGCAGCAGCGCAGGCAATGATGGAGAAAATAACAACGGCCTACAAAAGTACAAAATTTATATTAGTCTCCTGTCTAGTTATTCTTTATATCGAAACTTACAAATTTGAACATGTTGATTAGTTTTGGTTTCTTGTGTTTACTTTGGAAGTAAATGAGTGTCTGATACCAATTTCGGAATTGACCTAATCTATTTATAGTTCAGAATTTAATATTGAATAAGTACTGCTATGTTCACTTCAAACTGTTGATTTATTATTTTGTACACAGAAATTGAAATTTCGAGCAGAAATTAATTTAAATACGTATCTGCATTAATATTCAAATCACAAATTTCGGGGATTTCGGTCTAGTAGCAGTTCACAACATGTAGTAATGTCGTAGTTTGTCGTAGCTTATAACGACAGTGTAGTTTAACTCACACACATTCCATCACATGTATATGACCAACAGTAATCGCCATTCCGAATTTCAGAATATTGCACAAGTTCGATGAAACTTTATTCATATTCAATGATAAACGAAAATCGAAAAATGCTTACTTTTGGTACAAAAAATCTTCCTCTTTCTCTGTCTTTCTTTCTTTTTATCAACTTTCATAAAAATCGGCCACCACCACATCAAATTCCTAGAAACCAACAGAGAACACAATACCAAATTTGAGGATTCCAGTCCTATCCATTCATCCATTACCAAATTTAGTACCATGTAGGCATATATTAAACGCAGATACCATCAGTAATATAAATATCAAATTTCAGAATTTTATCTCTATTCAATTACCCAATAATTGTATTAAATAATTAAATAATTAATTTTATTTAATTAATTATACCCTCAGCCATATGGCTACAGAGGGTATACACAATTTGATAATTCAAAACGTGCCTAGTTGAAATAACTGTTTTAGACCATAGGTCTCTTTGGACCAAATCCGTTTCAGAACGTCCGCCTGTCTGTCTATCTGTGTGGCTGGTGCGCACGATAACTCTCGAAGGGAGTATCCGATTTGGTTCAAACTGGGTACATCGTAATATTTTTGTCAAACTTAGATCGAGTTTGGAGATGGGCAATATCGGACCACTCCTTCTGGTACCTCCCCCACAAATGGTCGAAATTTGCAAAAAACAAGTAAAAAAGTATCGGTCGGCTTTGCCGACAGATGTATACCCTCAGCCCTCTTCACCCTCTATGGAGTGGGTTTTTAAAGAATGGGTCAATATTGTCAATTTCGTATCGGACCTACATAAATATGATATAAATATTATTATAGCAGATGGATATAGCAATTGTAAAGAATCACTGAGTTGTTTCGCAATTTATGACAGATAAAAATATTGAAAAATGTGTCTCTTTGTGGGTGAGGTACCAGAAGGTGTTCGCAGATATATAGGATCATCTTCAAAACAGATCTGGTGTTAGCAAAAATAATTTGTATGTGTGAAATTTGAAAAGAGTTGAATCCTTATTTCGCTTTCTTTGAGCGTTATGTTTTTCAAAATTAGATTATTGCTTCCTTTCTGTGCAGAAAATATATATCTCAAATTTTCGACCATTTGTGGGGGAGGTACCATAAGATGTGGACCGATATACTTCATCTTAACACCAGAGCTTGGGTTAATATAAATATTGGGATGTGCGCCATTCGAAGACAATCGGACTCATACATCACATTTTATGAGAGTTGTAATTATTCAAAATTTTGACCATTTGTGGGGGAGGTACTTGAAGGAGTGAACCGATATTGTCCATTTTTACACCTAACGTAGAACTGATGCAAATATTAGGAGAGCAAAATCGGATTATCCTTTCTCTTTTTGTGCAAAAAATATATTTTTTGCAAATTTCGACCTTTTGTGGGGGAGGTACCAGAAGGAGTGGACCGATATATTCCATCTTAACATCAGATCTTGGGTTAATATAAATATTGGGATGTGTGAAATTTCAAGACAATCAGACTCTTACATCACATTTTATGAGAGTTGTGATTATTTAAAGTTTTGACCCTTTGTGGGGGAGGTACCAGAAGGAGTGGACCGATATTCTCCATTTTCGCACCAGACCTAGCAATGATGCAAATATTAGGATTTGCAAAGTAGCAGAATAATCGAATTATTCTTTCTCTTTCTGTGCAAAAAAAAAATATTTTTTTTTTGAAAATTTCGACCTTTTGTGGGGGAGGTACCAGAAGGAGTGGACCGATATTGCCCATCTCCAAACTTCAGATCTTGGGTTAATATAAATATTGGGATGTGTGAAATTTCAAGACAATCAGACTCTTACATCACATTTTATGAGAGTTGTAATTATTCAAAATTTTTACCATTTGTGGGGGAGGTACTTGATGGAGTGGGCCAATATTTTCCATTTTCACACCCGACCTCACACTGACGCAAATATTAAGATTTGCAAAGTTGGAGCAAAATCGGACTATAATTTCTCTTTCTGTGCAAAAATTAAATTTTTTGAAAATTTTGAACTTTTGTGGGGGAGGTACCAGAAGGAGTGGACCGATATTGCCCATCTCCGAACTCGATCTAAGTTTGACAAAAATATTACGATGTACCAAGTTTGGACCAAATTGGATACTCCCTTCGAGAGTTATCGTGCGCACCAGCCAGCCAGACAGACAGACAGACAGACAGACGGACGGACGGACGGACGGACGGACATCTCTAGATCGACTCCAAATGTTCTGAAACGGATTTGGTCCAAAGAGACCTAGGGTCTAAAACCGTTATTTCGACTAGGCACGTTTTGGCCGTATCAAATGATATATACCCTCTGTAGCCATATGGCTGAGGGTATAAAAAAAAAATATTTTCTGCACAGAAAGAAAAGAATAATCTAATGTTGCTCTAATTTTGCAAATCCTAATATTTGCGTCAGTTTTAAGTCTCGTGCCAAAATGGAAAATATTTGTCCACTCCATCAAATACCTCCCTCACAAATGGTCAAAATTTTTTATAATTATAGCTCTTAAAAATATGATGCAAAAGTCCGATTGTCTTCAAATTATACACAGCCTAATATTTTTATGACCCAAGATCTGGCAGTAAGACGGAATATATCGGTCCACTCCATCTGGTACCTCCCCCACAAACGCTCAAAATTTTGAAAATCAAAATTAAAATCACTGAATGCTGTGTCGTGGTATTTGGCGAAAGGTTAAAGTTAATATTCTGAAATTCGGAATGGCGATTACTGTTGGTCATATACATGTGATGGAATGTGTGTGAGTTAAACTACATTGTCGTTATAAGCCCATGAATCATATTAAATTTCATAAACTACGACATTACTACATGTTGTGAACTGCTACTAGACCGAAATCCCCGAAATTTGTGATTTGAATATTAATGCAGATACGTAGTTAATTGAATTTCTGCTCGAAATTTCAATTTCTGTGTACAAAATAATAAATCAACAGTTTGAAGTGAACATAGCAGTACTTATTCAATATTAAATTCTTAACTATAAATAGATTAGGTCAATTCCGAAATTGGTATCAGACACTCATTTACTTCCAAAGTAAACACAAGAAACCAAAACTAATCAACATGTTCAAATTTGTAAGTTCCGATATAAAGAATAACTAGACAGAAGACTAATATAAATTTTGTACTTTTGCAGGCCGTTGTTATTTTCGCCATCATTGCCTGCGCTGCTGCCAAGCCTGGTTTGGTTGGTGCTCCTTTGGCCTACACCGCTCCCGCTGCTGTTGTTGCTGCTGCCCCAGCTCCATTTGTCACTGCCACCAGCAGCCAATACGTTGCCCGTAACTACAATGGCATTGCCACAGCTCCACTTGTTGCTCCCGTTGCCGCCCCTGTTGTAGCCAAAACTTTTGCTGCTCCCCTTGTTGCCAAGACTTTCGCTGCCCCAGTTGCCGCTGCCTACTCTGCTCCAGTTGTTGCCAAATACGCCGCTACCTATGCTGCTCCTTTCGCATACTCTGCCCCCTTGACCTATGCTGCTGCTCCAGCTCCAGTTTTGTTGTAAAAACTTTGAGACTTCTTTCGATTTGCCATATGTAGGAAATAAACGACTTATTTAAATCTATTCAAAATAGTGTTTTGTTATAACTGTGGATCACAATACATTAATACGGAAAGATTGTTATATTATGATACGGCAAATTCATTTATATTGTTTGTAAGCAATTAGTCAAATTTTGCATTGAATTGTTGTCAGAATAGATGCCTATTGTTGTGTGAAATGTTAAGGGGATGAAGTGGACCAACCAACCAAACTAATCCGATTTAGCTATATCTGTCCGTCTATTGCATTCACACTATCTTTCGATTGAATTAATATAGAGTGCTAAAATTTGGACATATACGTTTTGGGTTTGAACTTAGATCACCTTCGGCCAACTTTTTCATAGAGTCCTCATATAACGGTATCCTCCTATTTAAAGCATTTCGACTACTTTCGCCACATTTTTCAACGGAATTATCTGGAATTCGGTTCCTAACCAAAACAGTTAATGAAAGGTCCCCATTGCGGGATATTTCCCATATAATGGTATCGCCCTATATTTAGTATTCTGATGGTATAGACAACAAAATTGTCCGAAATTTTGTCTGAAAATAATTTGTCTGAAATTTTGTATTTGAAGTTTCTGATGGGTGACTAATTGACTTACAAAAAACTTTTTAATTTAGGTCTTTATTTTGACTTTGTATATAAAATGGCAGATGGAACCTGGCTGACCTTGCTACTTTTTTACTTGTTAGCACACATATGTACAATGTACAATTTGTTCAGTTTGACCAACATTGTAATCAAAACTTCATCTAAATCGTAATAAATTTTCGGACTTTCAAGGTTTTATATATTTTCAAGTTCTCCCTTTTTGGAAAGAATATTGGATATTTCCAAAAAGGGAGGAAAAGGGAGAATATCTCCTTTTCGCCAAAAAAAAAATGTTCAACATATTTTATTTTGAAATTTATCGAGGAGAAAATTAGTGAACCCGTTGCACAATTGACCCAAATCCTAGTATTTTGTCCAAAACTATTTCAACGTCTCCATATGTTAACCCTACAAATCAGAGAAACTTTCAGGATTTCAGCCCTATCCCTTAAACCAATACCAAATTTGGTAACATTTAGTACACATATCCAAAACAATCTACATCTCACCAAAAGTGAGACACAACTAGTACTTTTTGGAAAATTATAGTACGTATTTCCAAAACCACCACCGGACCTTAACACCATGTACCAACAGAGACTTCAACATCAAATTTGAGGATTTCAGTCCTTTACCCTCTACCAATACCAAATTTAGTGCTGTTGACTATTTTTCGTATAGATGATTGACATATTTCCAATGCTCGGCCAAATCTCAATCCCAGGTACAAGCAGTAATCTAATTTGAAGATTCCAGGACTTTAAGGATTTCGGTTCTATTCTCTCACCCAACACCAAATATACATATACAATTATAGTACACATTTCCAAAACCACCTCTTGATCACAAATCTAATACCAATACAAATTAACAATTTGATCCATTTACGCAAAACCTAGCAGTTCCAAACATAGTACGATTATATTAATACACAAACATACCAACAACAGGGATTTCAATACCAAAACTTCGAAAACCTATAAACCTATCGATTTTGTTTCTGCAAACATTACATGAAAGGTGACGTCAATACCAAGGTTCATAGGTATGTGTATTGACAGAGACATTTTAGTGCATTCATTTCGAAATATAGATTTTGAAAATATTTCTGTCTGCGACTCCCATGCAAAACGGCTGAAGCAAGAAACGTAGGACTTTCATGTGGGTCAGTGTTGGTGTGTAGAGACGCTGGGTTTTTGAAATTCGATATTTTTTTGGACAATTGAACGAAAAAGTACTAAAAAGTTACAAATCTAATAACATTTGGAATTATATGAACATTTTGTACTAGGAGGCATTTGGAATAAGAATTATGTTTGGGAAGTAGAGCTGATATAAGAAGGAGGTTTTAAAAATGTGTCTTAAATTTAAGAACTGTACTGTTTGGTACAATTTTATTTTAGGTGAATGGAAGGAGCTGGAAATTTGGAATATTTGAATTGGGGTCACTGTTTGGTGAGTAGGTTCAAAATAAAAATATGGTTTTGGAAATGCGTACTACAAGTATATGAAAATTACTAAATTGTACTTTTATTACATTTCGGTGAACGGTTAGTGCTTGAGATCTCTAAATTCTGTATTTTGGTTGACCTTAGTGTGTATGATTGACATTTGGAGATATTTTAGGAAATGTGTACTAAAAAAGTACAAAAAGTACTAAATGGTAGATGTTTCCCTTGAAATAGGAAAATTTAGGGTGTATCTTTTAATGGGCGCTAATCCGAAACATTGATATACATTGACAATTTTCTGCGAAGATGTTTTCTACCCCCTTAGAAACCAAGATACCAAATAAGGGCCAAGTCAATTGAAAACCTAGCCATGACCCCCATGGAACAGCTGAAATCCTGGGGATACCCCCATATGAGGGTTTTACAAAAACGTGGGCCTATATTGATAATTTTTGATAAGAACGTTTTCTTCTTACTCAGAACTTAATTAAACAAAATTTGCCGAAAATAATATGAACAAGTAAAAAGGTAGCTCAGTTCGTCCAAGGCCGAATTTTTAAAACCTTCCACCATTTGGAACGAATTAGGAAGTGTTCAAAAAAAAACTCCTGTTAAAATCTTAAAAATACCGAATATAATGACTTACCGTTATATTTAGGTCTATACGCAGACGAAGACCTGTACATGCATAGGTCCATAGGTTATAGCATCCATTGGGATCATCAAATTAAAATCAAATTATCAAAATCTGAATATGGGGGCTATATCAAAACATGGACATTATAGCTCATGTTCAATACCAAAAGTCCTGCAGACCAATCATACATTTGAGTCAAATCTTATCAAACTACGGACGGATATCGTTAAATCAACATAGAATTCTATGCTAATCAAGAACACGTATACTGTGTGGAGACTAAAATGTATATTTCAGGTATGCTATGGGTATAAAAAAGGGTATACAAATATGGCTAAAATATAAAAAATTGAAATCTGGGTATACTCTTATATGGGAGCTATACCAAAACGTAGACCGACATCGGAAATGGCATCAAATTTTAGAATAAGTTTAGATTTGTTCCAATTGGTCACCTTTGGCACGAATTATGGGCTTCAAATGGCCAATGAAACCGTCACACGCTGCCCGGATGTTGCTCTGCGGTATTTTGGCCCATTTCCGACGAAGCGCTTGCTTGAGGTGATCGACACTTTGGTAATTTTAAGTTCCAACCTTCCTTTCCAAAATACTCCAGATACAATAGTCCAACGGATTGGTATCCGGAGATTTTGGTGGCCATTGTGCACTGCAACTAAAGCGAGGAACCTCATTTTGTAAACATTCTTGGGGGGCGCGTGCTGAGTGCGATGGTGCTGAGTCCTGTTGGAATGTCCAAGGTCTGCGGCCAATTGTTTGCATGTTCAAGGCCTTAATACGCCCTTCTGATGCCACGGTCGATTAATACGAGCGGATAGCGACCATCGGCTGTTATGGCGGCCCACACCATCATCATGGCCGGCGCTTGAGTTCTTGTGGCCAACCGAAGGTGCATATTTTCAGCTGACCTCTTCTCCAAGTAAACTCGATCATTTTGTTTGTTTACAAACTGCTGGACAACGAATGTTTTCTCATCGGAGAATAACAAATTCGCCAGTTCACCACTTTCGCCCAAGCGAAGCAACTCTTTTGAGTCCATTTTCTTTCTGTTGCGATGTAAGTTCTTGAAGTTTTTGGAATTTCAACGGCTTTACCCCGAGCTCATTTTTTAATATTTGCCAAATGAATATTGCGATATGTTTAGCTCACGAACCATTTTTCGGCCACTGCGACGCGGGTTTCGATCAGGTCGCTTCTTTACTTTCTGCTGATGTTGCTGTTTTCTTCCGTCCACTTCCTTGACGTAGAGCTACGCTACCAGTACCACGGTAACGAGTGATGGTACGTGGCACAAAACATTTATTCACATTTAAATGCTGGAGTGATCTAACGATAGCCACTTGTTGTTTTTCAGCCAAATATAAAGAAATCACGCTTGAATTCCATCACGAATAATTTTTTTTCTGGAAAATTCTCACCAAAATGCTTTTGTAAATAATCACTGAAATAATTTTAACAACTGTCGGACGAGTGACTTATAAATGACAGCAGTCTGAAGTTGGTTGCAGTTTTTTCATCTCACCCTGTATACATATGATGGACCCTAAAAAGATTTGGCATGTGAACTGTTTGGGATTTTGATCTACTTACCGAAAACTATCACATTCACTGGAATTTTCCACAAAATTAGTGGTTCATTGTACCCGCTGTCCTAAACTCTAACTTTATGCGAGATTTCGTGTCCTTTAGTTTCTATTTGTGACATTTATAACGGCTGCAAAATCAGGAAAATGTTAGTTGTTGGTCCATTTCAACCCCCTAATATATTTCGGACATCTTTAAAAACAATAGGCCCTAGCCCTTCTGAGCCCAACCCTACCCCTGTGAAAATTTTCGTGAGGATCGGACGATAATTGCAATACTTATATAATATCCCCAACCTGTGTTGTAAGGTGAAATAATATTACAAAATATTATAAGTCAAATTGAAAAAATCGCATGCGATAAAAAATATGGAAAAATAAAAATATGTCACAAAATACTACAAAATCTATATTAACATCATTACTGGCATATTTTTTTGCGATTTTTTTAGATTTTATACTTTTATGTCAAGAGGGCATTCTGGATTGACAAAATTCGTCAAAATCGGTCCAGCCATTCTTAAGATATAAGCATTCTAACTAACATCCCCCTTCCTTTGTATATACACATTGTATATATTTCGCTATATAACCGATATATTTACTATCGGCATCTACATAACCGTCAGAATTGACCTTTTCTTATATTTGTGATTTCGCCGGGATTAAAAATATTCGCGGTTTAATGGAAAATTTGACTTTTATTTAACACAAATGTTGTGGCCTATTTCACCCACTAAATATTACCCGACGACAATCAAAATTGGAAGGCTTCTGCCCAGCCCTAAGCTCTAGCCCCATGCTAACTTCCGCTTTGATTGGTCTATAATTGCGATCATCTCCAAAACAATAGGGTTCTATTCTGGTCCAAGCCCGACCTACATTCTAAATTTCGTGAAGATCGGGCCATAATTTCGACCTGTAGAGTGATTACAAATTAACATGGACAGACGGACGGAGGGACATACATAGCTAGATCGACTCAGCTCGGCGAGTCCCCTATGTGGGAAACCAATATTTCGAGGTGTTACATAATTTTTGGCCCAATCAAACTTATAATTCCCCCAACACATAGTGTTGAAGGGTATAAAAATATGCATTAAACACGAAGACTATAGTTATTCACATAATCTAAAATACAATCATAAGGAAAATGTTGACCCTAGCCATCAGATTACAGGTAATAATGAATGGTCTCAAAAACAATCTTATTCCTGCAAGCATTTATACGATCTGAATATAAAAAAACTTATCAAATCACATCCAAATTATTTTAATGTAGACTATCGCTACACTCATGTAAATTCCTCAACGGAATTCATAAAAATCCCCTATTTTCCCTTAAATGTGACATTTGGAGCACTAATTGTTCACACTTCCAAAACGTTGACAACGAATTCCATAAAAAGTGATTTATAGCACAAACCCAAAAAAACGCAGTACCCAAATTTAATAACAACTATTTTAAAACATGGCACGTTAACAACTTCAAGTGTTCGCCAACAACAGACAGACCAACCGATCGACAGACAAAATAAAACAAAAACGAATCTAAAATGAATAATAACCAATTAATGGCAAGCAAAGCCAGAAGTAGCCACTGGTGTGACGCTGCTGCCGTCTGTCTGTCAACGACTGACCAACAAATGACGCTGTATTTGGCTTGGATTTGTACAGTAGCCAATGCCGTCCGGCAAGAACGTGACACACGTACTAGGACGGGAGTTTCTTTGGCGGGATGGTTCGATGGATGGTTTGTTTATTTTGGTTTTTATGTAGGTTGTGGTGTCTTCAGATTGTGAGTGCCACAGTGGACAATTGAAATGAAAATCATGCCAAGGTTATGTAAGCTAATAAAATGCACAAGAATAAGGAGGTAAATAGAATAAAAAGTGTTTAAATTAGAAGGGAGGAATAATTTCGAATGTTTAACAGGTAAATGTATAGGAGATAATTTTTTTGCTGTTTGTAAATTAATTTATTGATTTTAATACGAAATTGCAAGCTACCCGTGTTGGAATATGACACTATGAATATATTATATAGGTTGGCGAATTAACTTCGGAGCTACTCGGAAATTCAATATATAAATTGATAAGTTGTAATTAATGATCGGATATAAAATATTTACGACAATTCGTCTCTCATCGGTAATAAAGGACGATTTTTGGCAACACCTGTTTAAAAAGCTCATGCACGTTTCATGTTTTGTATAACTGTCAAATATCTTCAGATTGTAAGTATTGGAAATTGTGACCCTTTGTGGGTGAGGTACCAAAAGTGGTTGGCAGATATCTACCACCTTTACAACAGATCTGGCGTAAGCAAAAACATTTGGATGTCTGAAGTTTGAAGGGAGTTGGATGCTTGTTTTTCAAAATACTTGAACCCTATGTCGGGGAGGTTTCAGAAGAAATGGTCCGATCTGTACCATCTTTATAAAAGATCTTGTGTTTATGGAAATATTGACATGTGTAAAGTCTAAATGGAATCGGATGTTACTTTCGCGTTTTATGAGTTTCATAGATATTCAAAATTTGGACCCTTTGAGGGGGTGGTACCAGAAGGAGTGGACCGATATATCCCATTTTTACACTATACCTTGGGTTAATAAAAATATTGTGATGTGTGTAATTTGAAGAGAACCGGATGCTTATTTCGGATTTTATAATCGTTTTGTTTATTCAAAACTTTGACCCTTTGTGCGGGAGGTACCAGAAGGAATGGTTTGATCTCCACCATCTTTAAACAGATCTTGTGTTTATGGAAATATTGAGATGTGTAAGGTCTGAATGCAATCGAATGTTAATTTCTTGTTTTATGAGCTTCATGGATATTCAAAATTTTGACCTTTTGTGGGGGAGGTACCAGAGGGAGTGAACCGATATACCCCATCTTCACACAATTCCTTGAAGACAATCGGACACTTACATCACATTTTATAAGAATTAAAATTGTTCAAAATTATGATTCTTTTGGGGGGAAGTACTTGATGAACTGGACCGATATTGTCCATTTTCGCATCTGACCTAGCACTGATGCAAATATTAGGATTTGCAAAGTTAGAGTAAAATTGGATTATCCTTTCTCTTTCTGTGCACCAAATTATTATATTTGAAAATGATGGCACTTCCTTGACGTCGGGCTACGCTACCAGTATCACGGTAACGAGCGATGGTACGAGACACAAAAAAGTTATTCACTTTTAAATGTTGGAGTGCTCTAACGATAGCCACTTGTTGTTTTCCAGCCAAATATAAAGAAATCACGCTTGAATTGCATCAAGAATAATTTTTATACCCTCTACCATAGTATGGAGGGTATATTAAGTTTGTCATTCCCTTTGTAACACCTCGAAATACACATTTTAGACCCCACAAAGTATATATAGTCTTGATCAGCATAAAATTCTATGTCGATTTAGCGATGTCCGTCCTTCTGTCCGTCTGTGGAAATCGCTCTAGCTACCGATCGAATTGAAGTAGATTGATAAAATTTTGCTAAAATGTATGTTATGTCTGCAGAACTTTTGGTATTGAAAATGGTCCACGTTTTGGTACAGCCCCCATATTACGGTACCTCCTAATATTCTCTATTTTGATGACTTTAGCGAATTTATTCACCAGAATCGTATCAAATTTGATATTTGAAGTTCGTAATGGATACTACAGCGTACGGCAGAAAGTTGTCTGTGCAGGTCCACGTCCTCGTATGGCCCACATATAACAGTACCTTCCGATATTCGGAATTTTGACTTTATCGACATTATAACCGATTTTTTTAAGTTTCGCATTTGAATATTGTAATGGCTTATGACAAATGTTACCTACGCATGTTCATGTCGTCGTATAGACCCACGTCCTATAGCCCCCCATATAACGATATTCGGTATTTTGATAATTTTAGCGAATTTATTCTCCAGAATTGTTTTAAATTTGATATTTGAAGTTCGTAAGGAATATTACAGCCTATGACAGAAAATTGTCTGTACAGGTCCACGTCTTCGTATAGCCCCCATATAACGGTACCTCCCGATATTCGGTATTTTGATGATTTTAGCAACAATTTTCACCGATTTTTTTTTTAAGTTTCGCATTTTAATAATGTAGTGGCTTATGACAAAAGTTACCTATGCAGGTCCATGTCGTCGTGTAGACCCTTGTGTAACAGCTACATTCGGTTTTTTTTAAGATTTTAACAGAATTTTTAACGGATTTTATTGTTTTTGAAAATTTGCCAAATTCGTTCCAAATGGTGGAGGGTATTTAAAGTCGGCCATGTCGAACATACAGATTTTTTACTTGTTTTTATTTCATAATGTAAATAATGTTTATTTAACTCAAACGAACTCGTTTTTATACCCTACACCACATAGTGGTAAGGGTATTATGTCTTTGTGCATTTGTTTGTAACATGGAGAAGGAAACGAGATAGACCCATAGTCACTTTTGAGAACCTTCATAGAATCACTTTCTGAGTCGATTTATGCATGTCCGTCCGTCTGTCCGTCCGTCTGTCCGTCCGTCCGTCCGTCTGTCCATGTATTCTTGTGAACAAAATGCAGGTCGCATTTATTATCCGATTGAGATGAAATTTTCCAAACAATATTTTTTTGGCCCAAGGACGAATCCTATTGAAATTGGTGAGAATCGGATCAAATTTAGATATAGCTCCCATATATATCTTCATCCGATTTCGGGTTAAATGTGCACCAAATATCCACTATCAGTCCAAATTACCTGAATTTTGGCACACCCAACCGAGTTCGGCCTAGAAGCAAGTATATCAAATTTGGAGAAAATCGGTTCAGATATAGCTATAGCTCCCATATATATTGTTCATCCGATTTGATCTTTAAGTTCCTCACATTCCTACTATGCACTCCACAACCGTGATATTTGGTACCACGTATTAGATGGAGCACAGAAATAGCTGTTTTGAATTTTATTGAAATCGGTTCAGATTTGGATATAGCTCCCATATATATCTTCATCCGATTTCGGGTTAATTGACCACCAAATGACCAATATCAGCCCAAATGGCCCGAATTTTGTCACATGTGACCGAGATTAGCCTTAAAGCAAACACAACAAATTTGGAGAAAATCGGTTCAGAAACAGCTATAGCTCCCATATATATCTTCATCCGATTTCGGGTTAAATGTGCACCAAATGTCCACTATCAGTCCAAATTACCTGAATTTTGGCACACCCAACCGAGTTCGGCCTAGAAGCAAGTATATCAAATTTAGTGAAAATCGGTTCAGATATAAATATAGCAACCATATATATGTTTCATCCGATTTAGAATTTTAGTCCCATACATTCGTAATATTCACTCCACAACCGTGATATTTGGTACCAGGTATTAGATGGAGCACAGGAATAGCTGTTTTAAATTTTATCGAAATCGGTTCAGATTTGGATATAGCTCTCATATATATCTTCATCCGATTTCGGGTTAAATGTGCACAAAATGGTCAATATCAGCCCAAATCACCAGTCTAGAAGAAGAAGAAGAATACGTAAAATTTGGAGAAACCCGGTTCGTAAAATGCACGATAGAATTATATAGATTTTGATTTTGTACCAAATATCTCATAGAGCTCTGAAATGCCCTGTATAAACCTTTTTACGAGAGCTCTACTAAATATGCATAGTGGTGTGGGGTATCATATAGTCGGCCCCGCCCGACTTTTGAGCTTTCCTTACTGGTTAATTCTGTATCTTTGGTTAAATAGTCGATTTTATTTTGTCTATAATAAGTGAATGTATTTTTCTATAAAATCTCGTCTACATATTAATATATTCATGTTCGTTTTATATGTTTACAATTTCACTATAAATTTTACCATACAGTCGTCGAATAAGGATAAGTGTAGCTGTATGGATATCCATATCCATAACCGTAACCATAACGATGTATATAGGGATATGTAGACCAAGTGGCAGAATATCCAGGATAGGCAACCGTTGGAACGGTGGACACAGTGGGTACAGTCGGTACATAGACTCGGTTAAATTGGCGGGCAACCACTTGATGACTGTGTGCGGTTACCACCGGTGTACCAGCAGTCACTGCATACGTTGTGGGCAAGGTGTGCACCGGTATTACACTAGCTCTGACATAATAGCAGATGGCCAACACTAGGAAAATTATCTGAAAATAATATATATGTCGGTATATCAGTTAGTTTGAATTATTATTGTTTTATTTAAGTGGATTGAAATAAACGAGTTTACAATTTCGAAAAGTTTAATGTTTAATTTAATTTCTATATTTTATGCGAAAAAATTTTAATCAAAATTATAATCTCTTGTGGTTGAGGTGACGTGAAGGAGTTCGCCAATAAATTCCACAGTCACATCATTGTTGAGAGGAATATTGAGATATACCTAGTTTGAAGATAATTGCTGGCTTGTTTCCCAAGTGATGAGAGATATATGTATGTGTTGAAAATGTTGATCCCTTTGTGGGGGAAGTACCAGATGTAGTGGAACAATATATCCCATCTTCACACCAGATCTTGTGATTGGATGTGTGAAACTCGAATAGTGTCTGATATTTATTTCACATTTTATGATTTATTATTAAAAATGTTGCCCCGTTGTGGAGGAGATACCGGAAATTGTGGTCCGATACATAACATCTTAACATCAGATCGAGCCTTAATGGAAATATTAGGCTGTGCCGAGTTATGAGTTTTATGGTTATTTTAATGTTGACTCCTTTGGTTACTCGTTATTCGTCTACCCACCCTAATAATCTTTACCTAACACTCGTGTTTATAAAATTTACCTAATATACAGGGTGAGATGAAAAGACTGCAACCAACTTCAAAACTATTCCAGTGACAGTTCATTTTATTGTTTACAAGCGTAGAAAAGCATTTTGGTGAGAATTTTCCAGAAAAAATGTTATTCGCGATGAAATTCAAGCGTAATAGTGTGATTTCTTTATATTTGGCTGGAAAACCAAAAGTGGCTATCGTTAGAGCACTCCAGCATATAAATGTGAATAAATCTTTTGTGTCTCGTAACATCGCTCGTTACCGTGATACTGGTAGCGTAGCCCGACGTCAAGGAAGTGGACGGAAGAAAACAGCAACATTTGCAGAAATGGTTCGAAAGGAAACGAAGCGACTTGATCGAAACACGAATCGCCGCGGCCGAAAAATGTCTCGTGAGCTGAACATATCGCAATATTCCATTTGGCAAATATTGAAAAATGAGCTCGGAGTTAAGTCATTGAAATTCCAAAAAGAGCAAGAACTTACACCACAACAGAAAGAAAATACCCTCCACCATTTGGAACGAATTAGAAAATTTTCAAAAAAATAAAATCAATTGAAAATTCTGTTAAAATCTTTAAATTACCTAATATCGGAAGGTGCCGATATATGGGGGGATATACGCTATTGTGGACCTATATAGACAAATCTATGTCTAGGGGGTAAAGTACTCACAAGGAACTCCTTGTGTGGATTTTCATATAATTAAATTGGGAAATGTGACTAAAATCATCAAAATCCCGAATATCGGGGGTACCGTTATATGGGGGATATACGATATTGTGGACCTATAAAGACAAATACCTTTCAGGGGTTAAAGTGATCACAAAGAAATCCTTGTGTGGATTTTCAGAGAATACCATTGGAATATATAGCTAAAATCATCAAAATACCGAATAACGGGGGTACCGTTATATGGGGCTATACGATATCGTTAACCTATATAGAGAACTCTATGTCAGGGGGTGAAGTGCTCACAAAGAACCCCTTGTGTGGAATTTCAGACAATTCCGTTGAAAAATGTGCCTGAAATCATCAAAATACCGAATATCAGAGGGTACCGTTATATGGGGGATATATGATATCGTGGACCTATATAGATAATTCTCTGCCGAGGTATAAAGTACCCACAAGGAACTACTTGTGTGGATTTTCAGACAATTCCGTTGAAAAATGTGGGTAAAATCATCAAAATACCGAATATCGGGGGTACCGTTATATGGGGGATATACGATATCGTGGACCTGTATAGACAATTCTCTCTCAGGAGGTAAAGTACTCACAAGGAACTCCTTGTGTGGATTTTAAGACAATTCCATTGAAAAATATGGCTAACATCATCAAAATACCGAATAACGGGGGTACCGTTATATGGGGCAATACGATATCGTTAACCTATATAGAGAACTCTATGTCAGGGGGTGAAGTGCTCACAAAGAACCCCTTGTGTGGAATTTCAGACAATTCCATTGAAAAATGTGGATATAATCATCAAAAAACCAAATATCGGGGGTACCGTTATATGGGGGATATATGATATCGTGGACCTATATAGATAATTCTCTGCCGAGGTATAAAGTACCCACAAGGAATTACTTGTGTGGATTTTCTGACAATTCCGTTGAAAAATGTGGCTAAAATCATCAAAATACCGAATATGGGGGTACCGTTATATGGGGGCTATACGATATCGTGGACCGATATACTTGACCTGCCGATAAACTTGACCTGCCTGCAGACAAAAGAGAGATCTGTGCAAAATTTTAGCTTCCTATCTTAATTCGTTTAGACAGTAGCGTGATTACAACAGACGGACAGACGGACGGACAGGGCTAAATCGTCTTAGAATTGTCCAGCAGTTTGTAAACAAACAAAATGATCGTGGTTACTTGCCAAAGAGGTCAGCTGAAAATGTGCTCCTTCGGTTGGCCACCAGAACTCAAGCGCCGGCCATGGTGATGGTGTGGGCCGCCATAACAGCCGATGGTCGCTCTCCGCTCGTATTAATCAAACGTGGCATCAGAATAAATGCCGAATATTATCGAGAAAATATTCTGGAGGGTGCAAGTAAACATTTTGGCCGCAGACCTTAGACATTCCAACAGGACTCAGCACGCGCCACCCTAGAATGGTTACAAAATGAGGTTCCTCGCTTCATATCCTACGCACAATGGCCACGAAAATGTCCGGATACTAATCCATTGGACTATTGTGTCTGGAGTATTTTGGAATGCAAGGTTGGCATTACAAAATACCAAAGTGTCGATCACCTCAAGCAAGCGCCTCGCCGGTAAGGGGCCAAAATACCTCAAAGCAACATTCGGGCAGCGTGTGACGGTTTCATTAGAACAAATCTAAGCTTATTGCAAAATTTGATGCTATTTCCGACATTTTTTGCTAACATTCAATAAAAATTAAAAAAAATGTAAAAATTATCGCGTTTGACTTTCTTGCAGTTTTTTTATCTCATCCTGTATATAAAACATAACTCTTTTTTGGGGAAATACCAGAGGGAGTGGGTCGAAATCTACTTTAATCACACCAGATTTTGTGTTGGTAGAAATATTAGGATGTGTAAAATGTGAAGAGATGCTTATTTCTTCAAAATGTAGAACCTTTCTTGGGGAGGTACATGATGGGGTGGGTTGATATTGTACGATTTCGTAGCACTGATAAAAATATTGGAATTTGCAAAGTTTATAGAAAACTGAGGATCATTTCTTGCTTTATACTGCAAATTATATGCTGGGAAAATGTTGACCTTTTCTAGGGAAAGTACCAGAAGGAGTGCACCTATATTGTCCATCTCTGAACTCGATCAAGTTTTATAATAATATTACTATGTACCAAGCTGGGATCAAATCGGAGAGTTATCGTGCGCACAAGTCAGACAGACAGACCGACGGATACCACTAGGTCGACTCCAAATTTCCTGAAAAGGATTTGATCCAAAGAGGCATGTTTTGGCCGTATCAAATGATATATATCCTCTGTAGCCATATGGCTGAGAAAACGCGACAGCACTTAAATTGCAGGAACTTTTTTTTAAAACTTGAAATTATTAATTTTTAATTATTAATTACATTCACTATATTTCCTCATAAGTTTTTGTTCAGAACACGAATACAATTTTATTTGATTCTCTGATTCTTGCACTTTTACCACTAACACACAAATATTATTATTTTCTCACCAATTTCATGGCGTTATCCGATATTTTCAACAGCTTCGGCGATAAGTGATGAATGGTCTACACGCACCAATTAGTGACAACAATACGTTTTATATGAACACAGGTATAAATATGTCGCCCGGACGATGAATCGCGATTCATAAATTCCAATTTTTCCTTCCTCCCATGCCTATTCCACCCACCTCCACATAGATACATTGCAATTCCAAGCATTTATGCATTGCAATTCCATTCGAATGCATCACAACCCATTTGCATTAGACACAAATTCCCTAATAGGTTAGGCTTCGCGCAAATCTTGCCTAATTGTCTCTTTAAAGCGTTACAAACAAATGCCGTTCATTTGAATGTTGATATGTTGTGCATTTTTTGAACGCCTTTGGTTGATTTGATCGCTATCGATCATTTTGCTTGCAACGGAACGAGCAGCTGCAGCTTTTGGATGTCATAATTTGTATGTGCCTTGCATGCAGTTTTCAGTTTCTTGGGCAATCGGCTACTGGACACGACAGTGCATTAGTTTGTCTAACAAAATCAGTTCCATTATGGCTAAATTAATTAGAATAATACAATGTTAATATGAACTTGTAAAAATTGTGCTGTGAAATATTGTGTAAAAGAATATGCCATGGAAAAATATGCATTTACCAGAGACGTATAAAAGAGGTGTGGACCACCTACCAGGGCCTCTAAAAGATTTATTATCAATTTTGATACTATTACCTTTACGCCTGCAGAGGGTATATATGATTTGATATGGTCCAAAATGTACCTCATCTAAATAACGGTTTTATATCTTCTATCTAGGGAGAATACGATTTGGAAAATTACGGCTCATCTTAATATTCTGAAGACATACTATAACGGCAAGCTAATTCTTGTCCACGATATAGTAAAACGTGGGCTCATATGCGAAAATGGGCAATAACAACTCTTCCCGTACCTCTCCCACGAAAATTTAAAATTTTGGATTAATTGTAACTCTTATAATATATCAAATCAGTATCTAAAAAAACTGCAACAAAATCAAACGCCATAATTCTAATTTTTTTTTTGTTTTTTAGTTTTATTGAATCAAAGAAAAAAATTTCGGAAATATCCTCACATTTTAGAATAAGTTTAGATTTGTTCGAATTGGTCACTTTTAGCACGAATTATGGCCTTCAAACGGCCAATGAAACCGTTAAACGCTTGGTATGTTGCTCTGCGGTATTATGGCCCATTCCCGGCGAAGCGTTTGCTTGAGGTGATCGACACTTTGATATTTTTAGTGCCAACTTTGCTTTCCAAAATACTCCAAAAACAACGGATTGGTATCCGGAGATTTTGGTGGCCATTGTGCGCTAGAAATGAAGCGGGGAACTTCATTTTGTAACCATTCTTGGGTTGCGCGTGTTGAGTGCGATGGTGCTGATTCCTGTTGGAATGTCCAAGGTCTGCGGACACCTTCCAACATATTTTTTATACCTCCAGCCATATGGCTACAGAGGTTATATATCATTTAATAGGCCAAAACGTGCTTTATCGAACGAAATCCGTTTCAGCAGACGATCTAGCACTGTCCATCTGCTTCGTTGGCTAACTGACTAGAGTACCCGATAACTCTCGAAGGAGTATCAGATTCCGTCCAAACCATTTGGTACACACAGGTACGAGTTTTTCCTGTTGAATAGTCCAAATACATATTCTGGTCCTCTCAAAATTTAAATTGTATCAAATTTAGTACCAGTTAATACACATAAGTACGAATTTCCTAAACCAACTACATTCCTCAGTCCTAGAATGCAATAGAATTCTTATTTCTAAATTTCAGAATTCCGGCGCTATGGGTTCACTCAAATCGAAATTGTACCAAATTTAGTGCCATTTAGTACACATTTTGAAAACTACTTCTATATCCTAATCCTACATGATCAGGATTCCAGCTACCTCCAGCCATTCCTCCAAATTCAAATCTAACTAAATTTAGTACCATTTAGTACTTTTCGTATACATGAGTACACACTTCCAAAACTACATCCTTACATCGACTCTACTCTTCAACCTTGATTCCCATTCTTAATTTAAGTTTTTAGCTCTAACCGTTCACATGATACGAAACGGTACCAAATTTAGAAAATTTTTGTAATTTTCGTAGTGCGAATTTCCAAAAGCCCTTTTGTACTTCCATCATACACTCCATCAATGGTCATTATTGCAAATTTAAGAGTTCTAGCTCTACTTCTTCCTCAAACAGAAAGGTTACCATATTTAGTACCTTTTAGTACTTTTCTTGCCGTTCCAGTACGAATTTCCAAAAATCCAGGCTTATCTGAATCCTTCGGACCAAAAGTGGCCTCACCTAAAATTTTAAGATTCTAGCTTCAGCCGTTTCGTCTGGGCGTTGATGAATCGTTAAGTCAGTCAGGAGGAGGTATTGTTATAGGAAAGCATGGACCTACATGGTAACATTTTTACCAAAATTGATGATACTTCACGCCATCTCTTGATGAAATATAAGTTTGTATGAAAAGCTCTGGTTTAAGTCTGCGATGATTAGCCATGACATGTGTAATTTTGTTATTTCTGGTTTTTAACAGATGTCACTCGAAAAATTATTTTTTTTGGTTGTTTTTGTAATTTTTATATGATAACATTTTTTATTAACGAATGAAACTAATTTCAGGTGTGAAAATGGACAATATTGGTCCACTCATTTTTGTACCTCTCCCACGAAAGCAGTTTGATATGTAATGGAAAATGAATATTAAATTTTTTTATACCCTACAACACTATGTGTTGGGGGTATTATAAGTTTGATTGGGCCAGAATTTATGTAACACCTCGAAATATTGGTTTCCCATATAGGAAAGTATATATGGATCTTCCTAGCTCGCCGAGCTGAGTCGATCTAGCTATGTATGTCCGTCCGTCCGTCTGTCCATGTTAATTTGTAATCACGCTACAGGTCGCAATTATGGCCCGATCCTTACGAAATTTTGCACGAAGGTGGGGTTAGGGTCAGAATAGAAGCCTATTTCTTTTGGAGATGGACCAAATACTGAAAAAATGTCGGATTTTGCAGTAGCTATACAGGTCGCAATTATAGACCAATCGACGCGGAATTTCGCATGTAGCTAGAGTTTAGGGCGGGGAAGAAGCCTACCAATTTGGGTGGTCATCGGATAATATTTAGCGGGTAAAATAGACCATATCTTTTGTGTTGAGAAAATTCAAAATTTTTCATTAAACCGTGGATATTTTAAATCCTGTCGAAATCACAAAGCCATGACAAGGTTACTTCTGACCTTTACATTGATGTTAACATCCAACAAATCGGATTTATAACAAAATATGTTCGATATATATGTCTATCAAAGAAGATATGCTTGAAAGATATCTTATATGTCGAGAACGGCTGAAATGATTTCGACAGTTCTCATTAATTCAGAATGCCCTCTTGTTAGGAAAGAAAAAACGTCTAAAAAATCGCATAAAACTATCTCTCTAAAGATGAAAATATTGGATTTGTAATATTTTCTCATATTTTTTCAATTTTGTCATATTTTTGGCATATTTTAATTTTGAATTAAACATTTGTTAATATTTCTACAGCTAACAAAACTAAGTAGTTAAGATATCAGGATATCATATACAGATCGCATTTATGGCCCGATCCTTACGAAATTTTGCATGGGGATAAGATGAGGGTCAGAATAGATGCCTACTCTTTTTGGAGATGATCGTTATATATTTAGGGGTTGAAATGGACCAAAAAACTGCAAAATTGTCAGCAGGTCTTAATTATCGCCCGATCCTCACGCACATTTGAATGGGGGTTACCGCACATTGCAAAAGCCAAGCAGTTTCGGATGGCCATCCAAAAATATTCAATGTGTGAAATAGTTTGCCAACTTTTGTAGACTAAATACGAAAATGTCCATTCCAGTGACTTTTTGGAGAATTCACAAATGCAGGAAAGACGCACTTCTGACTATTTCGTTAACGCTGATTTCGTTGAAGAATATAGTCAAATGTCTGTATCTCATATAGATGCGTTTCAGTCAAAAACCAATAACGAAACACGATGATTTTCTTTTATTATTTGTCACAATATCTTGTGGAATTCTTTCGAGTATCTCGCCTATATAAAATTATTATAGTGTTGTAGGGTATTCAACGGTCGGCCCCGCTCGACTGTAGCCTTTGCTTATTTGTTTTTTTTTTATTAAAAAGAGAAGCATTTCCAATTATTCAGTCTAAAAACGGGCAAACTTGAAAAATATATAAAACATTAAAAGTCAAAAAATTTAGAACGATGTATAAAGTTTTACCCCAACTCGTCCAAAGAGGACGATTTTTTAATAAATCTCGTAAATTGTAAAATCAATTTTCGATTTCTTAAAACTTTGCATATGGTAATTAGATTGCGCTAGATCTGGCATGAAGGCGTGATTTGTCGTTTCACTCCCACATTTTCACAAAAACTAAAAAAATTAATAATGATAACTTGCATAAAACTCTAAATTAATTATCAGTTCACAAATAGCAATATTTATACTAATATTAGGTATAGCATGAAGTTGGAATAGGTCCGGTCCAATCTTTCTGGTTCGTCTCCCAAAAAGAGTATAGATAAATAAGTGATCAAATATTGAGGGTATGTACTTGTCAGAGCCCCCACTAAAACTATCTAACTTATTTTTATACCCTCCACCATAAATTGTATGGAGGGTGTATTAAGTTCGTCATTCCGTTTGTAACTCATTTAGACCCAACAAAGTACATATATTCTTGATCAGCGTAAAATTCTATGACGATTTAGCCCTGTCCGTCCGTCTATTGTAATCACGTTACAGTCAAAACAAATTAAGATAGGAAGCTAAAAATTATACAGATCTGTCATTCGTCAGGCAGGTTAAGTTCGAAGATGAGCAATATTGGTCCACGATATAGTATATCCCCCATATAATGGTACCCCCGAAATTCGGTTTTTTAATGATTTAGCCACATCTGAAATTCTACACAAGGAATTATTTGTGAGTATTTTACCCCCTGAAAAAGAATTTTCTATACAGTTCCACGATACCCGATATTACGGTACCCTCCCGATAATCGGTATTTTGATGATTTTAGCCATATTTTTCAATGGAATTGTTTGAAAATCCATCCAAGAAGTTCCTTGTGAATACTTTATCCTTTTAAGGAGAATTGTCTATATAGGTCCACGATATAGTATATCCCCCATATAACGGTACCTCCCGAAATTCTGTATTTTGATTATTTCAGCCAAATATGTTAATGGAATTTTCCTAAATTTCACACAAGAGGTTCCTTCTAAGAAGAATTGTCAAAATAGGTTCACATTTAAGTATAGCGGCCATATAGCGGTAACCACAGATATTCGTTATTGTCATGATTCTTGTGACATTCTTCACCGGAATTGTTCGGAACCGTTACTACAGCCTATGACACAATTAACTTATACAAAACCTCGTTTTCGTATAGCCCCCATATAATGGTTTTCATTTGTGCTGTATTTTTCGACGGATTTTTTTTTCCAAATGGTGGAACCCCTATATAATAATGCCTGCCGATATTCGGAATTTTGATGATTTTCGAGGCATTATTCACCGGAATTGTTTCAAATTTTAAGTTTAGAATCAGTGCTACAGCCTATGACCAACAATTACTAATGAAGGACCACGTCTTCGTATTGGGGTTTTTGGTTTTAGAAATCTATACTAAATCTGGAATGGTGGAGGGTATAGAAAGTTCGGTCCGGCCGAGCTTCTTTTCTACTTGTTCTTAATCAAACCGATTTCATTTTGCTCTTTCAGTGATCATATTCATACAAAAATCAAAAAAGTCAATATATTTTTACAAACATAAATATATATATTTTTTTCAGTATCTACATAAAGATGTGCGAGAGTATAAAAGGAACTAATCTAAGTATTGTTTTTTGTGGGTAAATATTATTTAAATCAAATTATAAATGCTTAACAATTAAACAATCTTTTAAATGCTACAAAATGCAACAACATCAATGTTGTTTTTTATTCCTTGGTATTAGATTTTCAATTTTTGTACAGCATTCTGCAATATTTGGAATTCGGAATTGATGTTGTTCATCAGTTCCGATATTTGATGTTTGGAATCCAACACTTCAATGCTCTGGGTGTAGGCGTTGTAGCGCACACCAAATGGACGGGGAATGGAATTGGCAAATTTACTGCAAATGAAAAAAATGTGTAAAATTGAAATCCTAAATTTTTGCTCTGTTTCAGAACTGTTTTTTTTTCGACATCATAAAGGGAATTGGTTGTTGTACTAATAAAGTTTTACATTCTTACAGTTCTGAAAAAAAAAAACATTTTTGTATGTAACTTACATAGTCTTCTCCTTGGCATTTTCAAAACTTTCGGCCACATAGTAGACTTCTTGGAATTGTGTAATGGGATATTTGGTTGTGCCGGTAATTTCAGGTTCGAAATCCTTCAATTTAGGTTTGTCACTCAAACAGTATTGCAATTCGCCGTAGGAGGAGAGCAAACCAGCGCCATACGCCTTCAGTTCACCATCTTGACGACACAGACCAAATTCAACGGTAAACCAAAAGATCTGAAATGCATATGTAAATGTTATAGATAGTAGATCCTTAAAATCTATTTGTCACTTACGGTGGCCAATTTTTCAATGTAATCATCGGGAGCGCCCAGGGAGGCAAGACCAATTTCTTGACAGAATTGTGCAAAATCAGGATCGGCAAATAGTGGCACATGACCCATCAGCTCGTGACAAACATCTGGTTCTGGTGTGTACATGGGTTTGCTGGGATGACGAATATACTGAGTGGAGTGGAAAACGCGGAAAGCAAGACCAGCAAGGAAATCACGCGACGACAAAAGACCAGCCACGGGACGTAAGGTGAAACCGGTACAATCTGCAGGAAAAAATAAAATTATTTTTTTATTGTGTATTATAATTACAGAAAGTAAAGCCAGTAACAGTAAATGATAGGGCTATACGCGTCTTAACAACATAAGATATCATTGCAAAATAATAAAACATATAAAAAAAATTAGGAAGCGGATTGTTTGTTATGGTCGAATCCCCGGTTAGAGGGGGTATATATTACTTGATACGGCCAAAACGTGCCTTATCGAAATAACGCTTTTAGGCCCTAGGTCTATTGGACCACATTTATTTCAGGACATTTTGAGTCTAGGGGTGTCGATCCGTTTGTCTGTCTGCCTGGCTGGCTGATGGTGCGCACGATAACTCTCGAAGGAAATATCCGAATTGGTCCAAACTTGACAAATCGTAATATTATTGACAAACTTAGATCGAGTACGCAGATGGTCAACATCGGCCCACTCCTTCTGGTTCCTATCCCACAAAAAATAAAAATTTTCATTTTCTGGCGCTCAAAATCATAGAGAGGGGGAAAGAAAAGAAAAGAATTATTTAATTTTGTACAATCTTTGAAAATCCCAATTTTTTTGTCAGTGCTAGGTTAGGTGCCAAAATGGACAATATCGCACAATAGTCCTAATCCATAATTTTGGCGCTCAACATATTTTCGTAACATATCAAATTTTAATATTCCATTCAAATTTTAATATTCCATCGAATTCGGAGTTGGGGAATATCGGTCCACTCCCTCGGGTACCTTCCCAACAAAATTTGAAAATTTTCAAAGAAAATAATTTACTACACAGAAAGACAAGGGATAATCCGATTTTGCTCCAACTTTGCGAATTCTAATATTTGCATCAGTGCTAGGTCATGTGACAAAATGGACAATACCGGTGCACTCCATCAAGTACCTTATAACTTTAATAAAATGTGATGTAAGTGTCCGCTTGCCTTTAAATTACACACATCACAATACATGGTGAGATGAAAAAAATTAAACCAAATTCAGACTGCAACATTCCATTCGCAAAATATTGAAAAATGAGCATGGTGTAAAGCCATTAAAATTCCAAAAATGCTAGAACTTACCGCAACTAAAAGAAAATGGACTCAAAAGAGTTAAAGAGTTGCTTCGCTTGGCCGAAAGTGGTGAACTGTCGAATTTGGTTTTCTCCGATGAGAAAACATTCATTGTCCAGCAGTTTGTAAACAAACAAACTTGCTAAAGCGGTCAGCTGAAAATGTGCACCTTCGGTTGGCCACCAGAACTCAAGCGCCGGCAATGGTGATGGTGTGGGCCGCCATAACAGTCTCTCTCCGCTCCTATTAATCGACCGAGACATCAGAATAAATACCGAATATTATCACGAAAATATTGTGGAGGTTGTATTAAAGCCTTGGGCACGCAAACAATTTGGCCGCATTACTTGGACATTCCAACAGGACTCAGCACGCGCCACCGAAGAATGGTTACAAAATGGGGTTCCTCGCATCATTTCCAGCGCACAATGGCTACCAAAATCTCCGGATACCAATCCGTTGGACTATTGTGTCTGGAGTATTTTGGAATGCAATGTTGGCACTAAAAAATACCAAAGTGTCGATCACCTCATGCAAGCGCTTGGCCGAGAATGGGCCAAAATAAAGCAGAGCAACATTCGGGCAGCGTGTGACGGTTTCATTGGCCGTTTGAAGACCATAATTCGTGCCAAAGGTGACCAATTCGAACAAATCTAAACTTATTCTAAAATTTGATGCTGTTATAAAGAATGTAGATATTCGACTATTCCTTCTGGTACCTCCCCCACAAAGGGACAAAGTTTTGAATAACCAAAACGATCATAAAAACCAAAATAAGTATTCGGCTCTCTTCAAATTACACACATCACAATCTTTTTTTTTAACCCAAGGTCTGGTGTGATGTTGGCATATATCAGTCCGCTCTTTCTGGCATCTCCCCCCAGACCGTCAGAATTTTGAGTATCCATGGAGCTCATAAAACGCGAAATTAATCCAGCTTTCTTCAAATTGTACACATTCAAATATTTTTGCCAACGCAAGATCTTTTGTGAAGATGATGGTACCTCGCCCACAAAGGGTCACAATTTCCGATGGTTATATCTGTCATAACTGGCGAAGCAAGTCTTTACAATTGAAATCTGATATGAATATATGATTTATCGGAATTTATGATTTCGCATTATAGTGGATATGAATGTTCGGTTTCCTTCAAATTTTGCACATAACATTATTTATATCAGGTGAAGTGGGAAAATGAAATGCTTCGGTCGGCAACATCTGGTACCTCACGCATATTTTAACATAAAAAGTCCAATATAGTCTAAAGCCAGCACGTCGCAATATTTATAGCATATTTATTTAGGTCCGATACGAAATAGACAATATTGGCCCATTGCTTCGGAACCCACTACAAAAAGGGTCAACGATTTGAATAATCATGACAGAAGTCGAAATATATTTAACTGATCGAACATTGGCAAAGATTATACATCTCCTCAAATCCGACAGATTCTTTTTAATATGTTTTTTTTTAATTTTAATAATATTTGGCTACCTTACCTTTCAAGAAATTGGAAACATCTTCCAATTGTGGAATGTTATCCTCACGGAAGCCGCAATTATCGACCAATAAGGGGAAAACGTGATTATATTCCTTGCAGGCATGGGTTTTATACAGCTTTGTCAAATGTCTGAACATAATACCCCAGGTTTCCACCTCCTCTGGTGTGTAATCGACATGGGGCAAAGGTTGGCCATGTTTGTAGTTATAGGCAATATCGGCAAAATATTTCCTACAGACAAAGAAAATTTTAAATTCTCGTTTTTAATAATAAAAAAATATGAAAATTGTTACCTTCTCTCACGGTATTTTTGATCGGTGAAACCCGGATGATCGGAATCCAATTCAGCACCATAGCTCAAAATCTGATTGGCAAAACGATCCAAATCGCGAATTCTGCGTGGGAACCATGGTACAGCCGACAGATTGTCTTTGTAATCTCTGGAAATGATGTTGAAATATGAACAGGTCTCTCGCAACTCCTCAATGGCACTGCCCAAACCACCCGTACGGCCATCACATTCCACAAAGAATTCATAGCCAGGAACACGCAATGAGGAACGCGATTCAATATGGACCAAGTTGACATTATGTTTCTTGAAGATTTTCAAGGACTTGGCCAGTGAACCACTGCTTTGGTCTTTCGTAGAGAATACCAGGCATGTGTTGTGGGCCTCCTTGCCCTCCATACCCTCGGCAATGTAGGGTGTACCCTCAATGCGGGTAGGCTAGGGGAAAAAGTAATCAATGGAAAGCAAATCATTAGTGTGGGGCATGGGAGTGGAATGGAATGTCTTATCACAAATCTTAGGGATTTTTTGCGTTTCAATTGTTTGTGCAGTGCTAGCAAAATATCGCTTATTTTGCTTTTAATAAATCCATAAACGTATTGAGATTTCTTTATTAAGAAAATAAAGCATTAATTCGCAGCATGAGATTCTTCTGGGTGTCTTATCAGTTGATGATTTAGAAGAAATGTTATTTTTGGCAATTTTATGGTTTTAGTCTTACAGTGAGTGACACGCCTCTTTAAGATTTCGTGATTGTGGTGTAGGGTTAGGATGATAATATTTTAATGAGCATGTATGTGTCAAGTCGTTGTGGACAAAATTCTATATCAATTTTTAAGAATTATCAGGAAATGTACTGATTTTTTTTTTGTTTGCCACATAACATAATTTTGATATTTTTTATTGTTAGAAATAGAATAATACATTCGTTTGTGTTTTTTTTTTTTAATTTGCAAAAATCACCATATTATTTAATGTTGTTTTTTTTATTTTTTTATTATACTATATTTATTTTCAATTGTTGACATAATTGTCAGATTTTATTGTTTTCCCCAATTTTTTCTAATCATGCTATTTTGAATTTCTAGATTATTCGATTTAATTTTTTCTAATCAACACAAATAACTTGCAAACTTGTTATTTCAATTTTGATATTAGAAAAATATATAAAATTGTTTACTTCTGTTTGTATATAAATTGCTTAATTAATCGACAATTTATGGAAATTATACAAAACGTTTCAATTTAGCGCCATATTCTAAAACAAACAATATTATGTGAAGAAATTAGTTGAAGATTTGAAATGTCTGTTGCCGGTGTCGGGAGAAAATAAGATAAGATAACACTTTCGGTTATAGAATAAATGAATATTCATGTTTTTTTATAAAACGTCTCAGACTTTTGTGTGATTTAATATCGTATAAACTGAAGTATCCATAATTTTAACTTATAAAAATGTTCATAATTTTATTTTATGTAATATATATAAATTTCGTGTAAATTTATTCATATGAATTGAGACGGAGATTTTAAAATATTTAAACTGTTATTTATTGAAAATTAAAGACAACATCTTTAGTAAACACAGCCAGTTCTTTAATAATACTAATCCACGGAATATTAAATTGTTGACCAGAAAAACAAAAAAATCAAATAAAGTAATACAATAAATCCTCTACATATTACAGTTTTTCACGTAATGCCCATTTCTTTCTCCAGAAATTTGAAAAAAAATATGATTTGTTTTTCAAAATAATTCAAATTGTCGACTTTGGAAAAAGATGAAGATCCTGCGTAGGATATCCCAGACAAAAAACAATGGAACTGATAAGAATTGGTGGCTCTTTCCGAAACCTAGATATTCACTGCCTTACCCCCTGGTAAACATTACCATCGTTCTCCACTAATAAACAAAAGTTGTTTTTATAAAAACAACAATAAAGGGATTAAGCCTGACCATTTTGCAACAACATTTTCATAGTTTTATTTCCTACATAAATTTAAATATAAATTGAGACGGTCATTTGCTAATATTTAAACTGTTATTTAATGAAAATAAAAAAAAATCTTTATCAAATTAAGACAGTTCTTTAAAAATTCTATTTCATGGAATATTGATTTTTCGACCAAAAAACTCGGTTTCTCCGACAAATGTATACCCCAGCCTTGAGTTATGATTATTCTAACTGTTAACCCTTTATTGGGGAGGCTCCGAAGCAGTCCTATGACTGATATAAATATTACAACGTGCCAGATTTGGACTATATCGACTACTTCCTATACTTTATGCGAGATATGTGCATTTTTTTTTGGAAAATGTGGAAATATGCCTGAGGTACCAGATATAGGGGACCGAAGTACTTCACTTCATGTAATGCAGATAAAAATATTGGTCTGTGCAAAATTTAAACGAAATCGAACATTTATATTCAATTTTATGCGAAATCACAAATACCGATAAATTACATATTCATATCAGATTTCTGGTTAAGAGAAACATTTAGACCCTTTATGGTGGAGGTACTTGATGGAGTGGACCAATATTGTTAATTTTAGCACTGGCAAAAATATAGAGATGTACCAAGTTAGAGCAAAATCGGATTATCCTTTCTCTTTATGTGCAGTAAATTATTTTCTTTGATAATGTTGGCATTTTGTGGGATACCAGAAAGAGTGGACCGATTTTGCCCATCTCCGAACTCGATCTAAGTTTGACCATAATATTACGATGTACCAAATTTAGACCAAATCGGATACTTCCTTCGAAGATGGTTTTGGAAATATGTACTAAAAATCAAAAAGTACTAAATGGTAGAACATTTGGTATATGAGCAGGGATAGATCTGGAAATCTGAAATATGGTGTTGGGGTTACTTTTTGTGAGGTGTGAAAAGTACTAACTGTTACTAAATTGGGTAATTAGAGAGGAGATAGAGTTGTAAATCGGAAGTTTAGTAAGAGGGTCTTTGATGTTGTGTAGGATTGAGGAACTAAAGGTTTTATGGAAATTCGAAAATAAGTGTGAAAAATAATGCACTAAATTCGAGTAAAGATAATTAAGGACGTAGGATTGATATAACTATGTAGTTTTGGAAATGTATTATATGTGAGAACTGTGCTTAATGGTACAAGAAGTGTACTGGAAATGTGTACAAGAAGTGTGCTAAGTACACAGGTACTCAGTGGTACTAAATTTTATATAGAGCGCAAGAAAAGAACTAGAAATATGAATGTTGGTATAGTGATCACTGTGACGGTATAGCCTTTAGCTAAGGCGGAAACCCATAATGTAAAATGTACGAAAAGTACTTAATTATAAATGATACTTATGATACTGCGTGTGTGAAAAGGTACAATTTTTTGAAATACGTATTATATAGTGTACTTAATTGTATACTTAATTGTACTCATTGAACTATTAAATATATGAAATATATTTATGTTTTACAAAGGAAGAAAAATAGAATGTTACCAACTTTTGCATATATATTTGACAAATTCGAATGCCGAAGGTATATATCTGTTGCAATAGCATTTGAAACTTTGTAACTAGTTTTCAATACCAATCATCTTAGACAAAAATTTCAAAGCTCTACATCAGATAGTATGGGATGTTTCTTGATTTCATAAATGAAGGGTATACAAATGTTATACGTCGATCCATATTTTAGCAAAGGCCTTACAAAGTTACCTCCTGTTTTTATTTGAATACCCCACACACAATTTCAATTCAAATTTTTTAACCAACTCCCATCGATTTTGAAATAATTAAAGCTTTTTTGTGGTGGAGGCTAACGTACGAGCCGTTTTTACATTTATTTGTTAAAACAATATTTCTTTATTTGGATAATTTATTAATTGATTGTGTATTTATTTACTTATTAATTTGGTTTTTATTAATTATTAATTTTTTAAAGGTGTTTTTTAATAAGGGTTAATATTCCAGAACAAAAAAAAATATGGGAAACTATAAGGACTTATGACTCTTCCAGAAACTATTTTTTGTTTTACTCCCATTGCTTACTATTGACAAATTTTCTAATTTGCTATCAACTGGAAGTCACAAAAGTTAAATTAAAATCATTGGGCTAGCATTTGTCCGGCCATAGAGGTACTCTAACAACTAGAATTTGAAATAAAAATTACGATGCATATTATCAGAAAAGGCGGTGGAAACCGATTCTTCTGCGTTAGTGCTATATAAAAATAATGGATTCTTTTGGCGTTTTTGGCTATCTGAGAAAATTCATTTGGGCCAACAAATTCAGGCCAAACCACTTTGTAAGTTAATAAAGTGCTCATAATAAAATTGTGATTCTATTTTTTTGAAGGTATGTGAAAAAAATCTTCAAACTTTTATTCCGAAAGCTATACTGAGTAGATTATTTATTACATAGATTTCCCCCTGCCCCCTTGAGGATTTCCAACTATATGTTTTAAATCTTTCAATGGAATATTTCATTTTTCAAATTTCTATTTAATTTCTTATCAACCCTTATTAGACAACTACAATTTGAGATTAATTCCTCATCACGATATTCATTAAAAAAAGAGACGTATTTAAATTTAAATTTATTTAAGTCGCAAAGCCATTGTTATGTTAAATCAGCAAAATTTAAACGTCAACAAATATTATTGTTGATAGATGTCAATAAAAGAAACAAAGATTTGCTGACAGTTACAATTGTTTTCAGATGTTTTCTATATTAAAAAACAAGTAATTGTTTTCATTAGTAAATGCATGAATTTACATATGGAAAGAAATATATATTAACCCTAAAAACAAGGAGGGGTCTTAAAAGTCACTGTTAGATAGTTTTCACTGTTATAGATCTTAGTCAGGGTCTGTGATTTGAATGGCTTACAACTTTTCCACTTTAAGTGGACCAGCTAGCCACTAATGTTTGTGTTTTCTAAACAGAGGGGGTAAATTATTAAGTGTCTTGTTTTAACATTATTATCGAAGTTCATTGTAATGTAAACTATTAAACAAAGACATTAAAGTTAATCGTTTCATTTTAATTGGGCCCAGACATTTTCTATTGAAATTCATTGGCATCACAAACAATGAAACAGACAAATCTGGCACGTGACACTTGATCTTGGAAACATGGGCGAGACATCAACAATTATAACGAACGTGATACTTGCAGTCGTCTACGGATGTTGGACAATTTATGGATTTTTAATGATCGTATATTACATTTTAATGCTCATAAACATGTTCAATTTACATATTAAATATGTAAACATATCAGGTTACTCTAATCTTATAGCTATACCATGTGCTACTGCGACAGATACGAAGTGCAGCATTGGCAGATACAAGAAAATCAAATTCCATTATATTCAAACATGAATACAACTATTTTGATGAATTTCGAAAAAAAAGAAAGAACGAAAAGGAGGTGAATTTAACTTATTTGGACCAAAATCGATTCTATCTGTCCGTCGGTATATCTGGCGTGTTGGCTGGTGCAATAACTCTCGAAGGGAGTATTCGATTTGGTCCAAACATTGGTACATCGTAATATTATTATCAAACTTAAATCGAGTTCGGAGATGAGAAATACCGGTCCACTACTTCTGGTACCTCCCACACAAATGGTCACATTTTCACAAAAAATAATTTATCTTATACATCAAGAGAGCATCATCCAATTTTCTGCAATCTTTGGGAGCCTAATATTTTTATCAGCCCTAATTGAGGTCTGAAAAATAGATAATATCGGCCTACTCCATCAAGTACCTGTCCCACAAAGGGCAAACATTTTGAATAAATTGAACTTTTATAAGATGTAAAAAAATAGTCCGAATTTCGTCAAATTTAGCATATCCTTATATTTCTACCAACACAAGATCTGGTATGAACAACGGATGAAAATGGACACTTGTTTTGGTACCTCCCCCACATCACGTGGAAATGAGCATCCAATATCTTTCAAACTCGGCACATTCCAATATTCCTGTCAATAAAAGTTGGGATGTGAATATGGTGAATATATCGGACAACTCCTTTTCATGCCTGTTCTACAAGAGTCAAAATTTTGAATAACGACGTTCATAAAATAAGTACACATCAAAATGATCATCCGATTCTCTTCAAATTTCACACATCCTAATGTTTCTTCCAACGAACCATCTGGTGTTAAGATGATATTAATCGGATCACCCCTCACCCAGAATAGAGAAGAGTAGTAGTGACTGACTGAAAATCAACGCCCAAACATAACAGCGGTAGCTAGAATCTTGAAATATTGCATGAGGGTCAGACGTGGTGTGTAGGATAAGACTGGGTATTTGGAAAGTGGTACTAAAAGGATACGGTACGTACTGAGATTTAATAAAAATTAAATATTTTTATTGCACAAACGGAATGAGCTAGAATTCTGAAATTTTGAATGAGAGTTACTTACGGAGTGCAGGATAGATGTACTAAAAGGTTTTTTTTGGAAATTTGAACTTTATGTTTACTAAAAGTACTAAAATTCTAAAATGATGCCATTTGGTATTATGTGAGAAGATAGAGCTAAAACTTGTAGTTTGGAATCACGGTTGGAAAGTAATTTTGATATAAGAAGGTGGTTTTGGAAATGTGTACTAAATTGTACTAAATTTGAGACAGTATGTTTTAGTGTGAACGAGTAAGGCTGGAATTTTTAAAGTTTGCATTGTGGTCCCTGTTGTCGATAGGTTTGTGATAAAGAGGTAATTATGAAAATGCTCAATAAAGTGCAAAAATTACTAAATTCTACTATATTTGGTACAATTTGGTACTGGGTGAACAGATAATGCTTGAAATCTGAAATTTGGGCACGATAAAAATCTATAATAGGAGATTTGGCAGGGGTTTGAAAATGGGCCCTATATTTGTACGAAAAGTACTAAATGATTCTAAAATTCGTATTGGGTGAAGGGATAGGGCTGGAATCCTTATATTTGATATTGAGATCTATATTAGTATCTGGAATTGAGATACGGAGGTGCGTTTGGAATTATGTACTATAATTGTTCGAAAAGTACTAATGGGACCTATATTTGGTATTAGATGGAGAAACAAAGCTGAAACCCTGAAATTTGATGTGGAGGTCTCCGTTGGCATCTGGGAGTAAGATTTGGAATTGTGTTTGGAAATGCGTACAATAGTTGTTCGGAAAGTACTAAATGTCGTATTGAATGAACGGGGAGTGGGGACTGGAATCCTCAAATTCGATATTATAGCAAAAGTACTATTTGGTAAAGTACAAAACTTCTAGGGTACAATGGCTGTTCGGAAAGCACTAAATGGTACCAAATTTTGTATTGAATGAAGGGGTTGGCTGGAATCTTCAATTACGATATTACACCAAAGTACTATTTGGTATTGAGTGAATGTATAGAACTGGAATCTGAAAATTTGGGGTCTCTTTTGGTATCAGGTATTGAGACATGGAAGTGGTATTGAAAAACTGTACGAAAAGTTCTAAATTTGGATCACAGCTGGTGTTTAGGTCTGAAAGATGTAGATTGTTTTGAACATGCGCAAAAATGTTACAAAATTTGGCATTGGGTTAAGGGATAAGGATACTTCATAATCTAATGGATTTTCACAGTATTTATCGCACAGTGGCATTTCCTTTGAAATGTTCACAAACAGTGTCCAATATTTCAGAAGCTGTTTTTTGTAATTTGCTAAGTTTGGACAAAATTTACCACCGCTGGCAGAATTATTGAGAACACCAGCCAGATCCACTAGATCGAATATAAATGTCCTGAAAAAGATTGTATCCAAAGAATCATAGGGTACACAGTATAGCCATAAATCATAGGGCATAAAAATTAAAAGAGTCTCAATTGGAATATTCGAACTTTTTAGTGCCTTCGTACAACGAACTGGCAAAGTTAACATTAAGTCAACATTAAATGTTGAATTATTTCCAAACTTTTAGTCCCCAAAATAGTTTCCAAATCCTTATTTGATTATGTCGTTGTTTCCATTTTACCAAAATGAAAATTTTATTGTGAAAGTAGTCCTTAAGCATAGTATAGGGTATAAAATACGGAATTTAAAATAAAACTTATAAAATAAATTTCAGTTGAAGAAAATTAAAAAAAATAGAATTAAATTCCAAACACGAAACCACATTACTTAACCACTAACTCATGATTTATTACTTAAACACTATCTCATATTTGTGTGAAAAATTCCACTTGTAGGCTATTAAATTCTTATGCCATAAATATTATTTCGAAATTTCACCAAAATACATTAATTATTCGATTAAAATCCGGAAATCTTCGTATTATTCTGCCCGGTTAAGCAGATGCTAATTTTCAAATTTCTTTAAAATGGACTTGCTATTTTTAAACTTTTTATATCTAGCAACGGACTGGTTCCAAATTGTTATATTTTTATAACTTTGTTTGTTTCATTTGCAATTTAATGGAATTATTTCAGAAGACATGCGGCGCCTTGAGTCTAGCTTCGAATATTTATATATGCGAATAAGATATATATTTGCCATTTATTTTTCTTTTTTTTTTTCAAACAAAACACTTTTCTTTTTAAATTTTCCATGAATCTTTTTAAAGCCATCATTTGTTAACACCAACCTTTTCAAACGATTGTTGACGTTGCATCATCATTTTGGCTGCTCAACAATTCTCAATCACTGTATAGATTTTCGAAGATTTATTTCACTTGTTTTTCACTCCCGTTTCAAAAGGAACTCTTTAACGATCAATGGTTAAATAATAACTAAAGCCCACTTGAAGACCATCACATGTTTAAATAGACTCACGGCGATCGGGATTCAAAACGCAAAGAAATCTCAAAAGAAAAAACCAAAATAAAAAAAAAAAAAAACAAACAAACATGGCCTGCACTGAATTCTGACAGATTGGACGTAATTAAATTTAAATTAGTATTGGTCTTTCTAAAGTACGATTATATTGAATGAAAGATGAAGAAAAAAAACAGCTCACATGCATTCACACATACTCACATCCCCATCAACAGATCGTTCTGAACCAGAATTGATAATAACGTTTGGCCCGTCGTCCGCCACTCAACGTTCGATGGATCGATCCACTCGCAGCAGCCAACGCCAGCAGTGAATAGTTACACCAAGAGGTTATCTCTCAATATGTTTTCGTTTCCAAACAGCGACCTGTTGTTAGTTAATGCTGCCTCAGCCACTGCCGTGGTCTTGCTACCGTTTCTGTCCAGCTAGCGGTGTCACCATGCCCCTCCTGTTCTGTCGCTTACTTTCGAGCTATGATTATTAATATTTAGCCTGCTGTATATTTAATTAATTTTACTGCTCCATAAAAATTAAGAAAAAAAAGTCTCGTCTTAGAAAAAAAAAAAAAACAAAATTAAATCAAATGTTCAACACACGATGATGGGTTTAAAAATAAAATTAATGATTTTAAAAACCTGGTGGCATAATAAATTATTGATATCGAAATAATATTAGATATAGAATAATTTGTTTATATTGCCGCCTGTTTTATATTATATAACCTTATGGCCCATGACAACCTCTGAAAATCATAAATCAGAACGTATCAGTGAGGTTTTCCATAATAGTCTCTGCTCTCTGGGAACTCTCAATGTCAAATAACAGCTCATTCGTTTGGAAATTTTCCCAGAAACAAGGAAAATTACCAAATAATAGTTGGTATCTCAAATTATTCAGTTTTGTTTTCTTGTTTCTGAGAAAAATTATTTGGTTGAAATTTTTTCTCAGAAACAAGACAACAAAAATTAATAATATAAGATACCAACTATTATTCGGTAATTTTCCTTGGTCTTTTTTGACATTTAGGGTTCCCGGTGAGTTGGGGCTACATACTCTATTGCGGGAAACCCCACAACTAATTTCGAATATTTTGAGCTACTGTTGTGGAGGGTATAAGTATTATTTGTTGAATATAATTGGAGAGCTTAGACAAGCATTTTTATACCCTCCATCATACATTGTATGGAGGGTATATTAAGTTCTTCATTCCGTTTGTAACTCATCGAAATAATTATTTTAGACATAACATAGTATATATATTCTCGATCAGCATAAAATTCTATGACTATATAGGCCTGTTCGTCTCTCCGTCTGTTGTAATCACGCTAGAGTCAAAACGAATAAAGATATGAATCTAAAATTTTGCAGAGATCAGTCTTTTGTCTGCAAGCAGGTAAAATTCGAAGATGGGCTCCATACAAAGGTACCGCCCGGTATTCGGTATTTTAATGATTTTAGCCACATAATTCCAATGGAATTATCTGAAAATTCACACAATGAGTTCTTTCTGAGTAATTTATCCTCTAAAAGAGAATTGTTAATTTAGGTCCACGATATCGTATAGCCCCCACAAGAGAATTTATTTATATCCGATATTCGGCATTTTGAGGCCAAAATTTTTCAATAAAATTGTCTGAAAACCCACATAAGGATTTCCTTTTGAGTACTTCATCCCCTGGAAGTTTGGCGAATGTTATTTTTTTTTATCAAAATTTCCAAATTCGTTCCAAATGGTGGAGGGTATTCAAAGTTCGAAATCACTACTTTTTTGCTTGTTATAAAACAAGAACGACCACATTGTTTACAAAGTTAATGCATTTTTTTTAGCTTTTTCGCATGGGAGCCATATCTACATCTGAAGAGATTTACACTAATTTGACAATAATTATAAAATCGGACAAAACATATACTTGTATGGAAGCTATAGCTATATTTAAATCGATTCGGTCCAAAATTGTCAGACCTTATTCTAGTTGGAATTTGATCATATAATCGGAAATTCAATCTAATTGCACAAACGTCACATGGTTGGTGCATAATTTACATCAAATCACCGGGATTTTCATAAAATTGGAGGTAAATACATATAGGAGATGCATCCAAATCTGAAACGAATTCGACAAACTTTGCCTAAGGTATTCTTTCACCAACTTTCACTTTCATCCAACAAACTTACTACGAGTATAAATTTGGTCGTAATTGACATATTTGGATTTTAAGTAGTATAGAACAAGTACATCAACTTTCGAGAAAATCGGTTCAGATATAGCTATAGCTCCCATATATACAGGACAAGATAAAAAACTGCAACAAAGTCAAATGCAATAATTTTTAGATTTTTTTTTTTAATTTTATTGAATTAAAGCAAAAAATGTCGGAAATAGCATCAAACTTTAGTATAAGTTTAGATTTGTTCAAATTGGTCACCTTTGGCACGAATTATGGCCTTCAAACGTCCAATGAAACCGTCACACGCTGCCCGAATGTTACTCTGCGCTTTTTGGCCTATTCCCGGTGAAGCGCTTGCTTGAGGTTATCGACTCTTTGGTATTTTTTAGTGCCAACATTGCTTTCCAAAATACTCCAGACACAATAGTCCAACGGATTGGTATCCGGAGATTTTGGTGGCCATTGTGCGGTGGAAATGAAGCAAGGAACCTCATGTTATAACCATTCTTGGGTGGCGCGTTCTGAGTGCGATGCTGGTGAGTCCTGTTGGAACGTCCAAGGTCTGCGGCCAAAACGTTTGCGTGTCCAAGGCTTTAATACACACTTCAGAATATTTTCGCGATAATATTCTGCATTTATTCTGATGCCACGGTCGATTAATACGAGCGGAGAGCGACCATCACCATGGCCGGCGCTTGAGTCCTGGTGGCCAATCGAAGGTGCTGTCTCATCGGAGAAAACCAAATTCGGCAGATCACCACTTTCGGCCAAGCGAAGCAACTATTTAGCTCTTTTGAGTTTATTTTCTTTCTGCTGCGGTGTAAGTTCATGCACTTTATGGAATTTCAATAGAATTTACCCCGTTCTCTTTTTCAATATTTGTCATATGGAATATTGCGATATGTTCAGCTCACGAGCCATTTTTCGGCCACTTCGACGCGACTTTCGATCATGTCGCTTCTTTACTTTTCGAACCATTTCTGCTGATTTTGCTGTTTTCCTCCGTCCACTTCCTTGAGACACAAAAGATTTATTCACATTTAAATGCTGGAGTGCTCTAACGATAGCCACTTGTGGTTTTCCAGCCAAATATAAAGAAATCACACTATCACGCTCGAATTCCATCCCGAATAACTTTTTTCTCATTTTTTTTCTCAATCTCAAAATGCTATTGTACGCTTGTAAAGAATATAATGTGCTGTCACTGGAAGAATTTTAACAGCTGTCGGACGAGTGGCCTAGTAATGACAACAGTCTAAAATTGGTTGCAGATTTTTCATCTCACCCTGTATATAAACCGATTTTCTCCAAATTTGATGTGCTTGCATCAGACTGAATTCGGTCAGATGTGCCAAAATTCTGGTCATTTGGACTGATATTATCCATTTGGTGAACAATTAACCCGAAATCGGTTTAAGATATTTACGGGAGCTATATTCAAATCTGAACCGATCTTGATACAATTTAACAGATGTATATCTGGGCTGCATCTGGTATCTGGTACCATATATCATTCTTGACTTAACACCTACACAGATAGACTGACATTCATAAATGTACTCAGAAAGTGATTCTATGAAGATCCTGAAAAGTAACTATTGGCCTATCTCGCTTCTTTCTCCATGTTACGAACAAATGCACAAATATATAATACCCTTATCACTACGTGGTGTAGGGTATAAATATCGTAAATTAAATAATATGGATAAAATCTGCGAATATCGAATGGTGCTTATATATACTATTGAAAATGTGACTAAAATCATACTAAAGGGTGAATTTTTAAGAGCCACAGGAAATGTTAAAAAAAACACATACAATTCAGAAAAATTTATGAAATCCTTTTTTGAATTGGTAGTAGGGTCCATATAATTATATGTTTTGTTGATCATTTGTAATTTGCCCCCTGAAAGAGTGTTATCTATATAGGTCCACGAAATCGTATAACGGTACCTCTCTATATTAGGTATTTTGTTTATTTTAGCTAATCTTTTCAATGGAATTGTCTAAAAATCCATACTAGAAGTTTTTTTAAGCACTTTATTCCCTGGAAAAGAAATATCTTTTTAAGTCCACGATATCGTATAGCCCACATACAATTGTACCCCCCGATATTCGATATTTTGACGATTTTAGTGACATTATTCACCGGAGTTGTTTAAAATTTTGTATTTACAATTCGTAATGGGTACTACAGCCTTTGACAAAAAATGCGTATGCAGGTCGAGGTCTTCGTATAGTCCCGATACATTTGTACCTCCTTATATTCGGTATTTGGACGATTTTATTATTATTATTCTCCCGATTTTTTTTTTAAGTTTTGTATTTGAATATTGTAATGGCTTATGACAAAAGTTGCCTATGCAAGTCCATGTCTTCTTATAGGCTCCAATATAATGGCGATATTCGGTATTTTTAAGATTTTGAAAAAAATTTTAAAGGATTTTATTTTTTTTTTAAATTTCCAAATCCGTTCCAAATGGTGGAGGGTATTCAAAGTTCGGCCCAACCAAACTTACTGCTATTTCACTTGTTTCTAGATGCATTAGTTGCTTTTCCAATGATTATGGTTGATTTTATTTACATAGCCAAACATTTGTACCTATGAAACAGACACTAACAACGTTTTTCAAATAATAGTGGTCGACCATAACCATAACATAGTATTGCAATCAAAAGCAAATGTTTCCGCATCTTCTAAAGGTCGAAATTTAAAATTTTCCCAATTTTGGAAACCCCATAGTTATATTCGCCAGCACACTGAAAACCAAAAAATATATAAAATAATGCGTAATTGGTT